ATGCAGTAATGAATGATGAAATTAAAGGTTGTTTGATGAACCATATGCGATGCGAAGAGCACCACAGTGAACTGGAGTTGGCATTCAACGAAGGATTCGAAAAATTCCGAGCATTCGCGGCAACAACTCATACAAGTTATAATTGGGACTATGTGTCCCCTGATGCTGTGAGAGAGATACTAGACGATGGTGGTGACATGAATGAGCATAAGCACGTCAAAGCTGCTCGGAAGAAGCCGACGATACGACTAAGTGATTGCGGCTACAGCTGTTCTGTTGGTTGGGGGTGATCGTGGTATTGCACAAATTAGAACTATATTCCCTTAATGTCATTATCTAATATAAAATAATACAAATATCAGTTTCATTTGCTTCATATATAATTATTGGGACTATGTCTTGCAAGTCATCATGTGTTCCTTCTGTCTAACATTATATTTTGCAACTATGGAAATATTATTCAATAAGCAGTCAATATCACAGCACCTTGGTAATCAGTAAAGCCCCATTATCATGACACGTGAGTCATAAGTAAAATGCCATGTGCTATACATTGTGTAGTGAATGGTTTATGGTTTATGTATATATAATAAAATTCCAAATATTGCTGAATATTTATTTTGTCTAAATCACTGGGGACATGAGTGACCATAAGCACGCGAGACCTGCTAAGAAGAAGCTGACCAATACGACCTAGTGATTGTGGCTACCGTTGTTCAGTTTATTGGGGAGATCGTGCTATTGCTAAGAGGGAGCACATAAAATGCTTTGCAATCAAATTTTCTTTTGTGTGTGGAATTATGAGTAGTTCAAATGTTAGTGTACCCTTTAATATTACCCAACCATTCGAAATGTGATTAGCTGCAATGTACTTTTTTACACGTTGCTTTCTAATCTTTCTGTTCCAACAAAGTGCTTCAAGTATCCTTCAGCTACGAATGTTTGCAAAATCGTGCACCTAATAACCAGTCCAGCTCAGATCTTAATCACCAGTAAAACACTAGAACATAACATTCGCAAAAAGTGGGTGCTGCTACAAATGATGCGTGCTGCTGGAAATCATTACTGGTAATGGAAACAATAGCTGGCTGCTGGAAATGCTGCATTAGCCTGTCATATAATCAATAAATCTCTATTCAAACATAATTCACCATAAACTACCCATTTTACAAGGTAAAAGTCATTGCTTCTTCACATAAATCAAAATTTGATGCTTTATCTAATGTCTATGAAAATTTCTAAATAGGGAGAAGACGTAAAATTAACATGTGTCCAAATTTCATGCAAGAATGAAACCAAGCAAATTTTCATTTCAATTATCAATGGACATAGTCAGAGCTCATCGGTGGACATGAACAAAAAAATAATAATAATAAAACTGCATCTAGAAAACTTCACCTGATCATTAGTCTTCATAATAACCGGGCTTCGTATAATAGAAACCTAAATCATTGAGTTGGTCCGTGCATCCTGTAAAATTCGTCAAATAATGGGTCACTAAGATCTATTGGAGTTGATTCGTCATTGTTCGACGGTGATGTCCTGCATAAACATCAAACAGAAGCACATAAGAACTTTACCTATTCAAATTTTAGGTCTTATTATAAATAGTGTTAACATCTTACGGTGTGTTCAAATTTCTTGGGCATTGTCTTCTATCATGACCAATGTGTCCACACTCCCGACAGTGTCTAATCCCTCGCTTCATTGCCTTTTCCTTTGCTCCCGTTACTCGTTTCGACCCTCCATTGCACCTTACTCTCTTAGGGTCTTTCATATATTGTGTTTGAGAGCTGGACCCTCCAACTTCGTTATTACTTGGTCCATCCTTCAACAACTTCAACTTCACCTGCAAACTTTTTAGAGTCTCTGACAGTAGCTCACATCCTTCTTCACACATTAATGCATCCTCAACCACATCTGAAGCAAGTCGGGACATTGTACTCCGCTTTATTAAAAGACCAGGATCTGCAGAGTCTTTAATTTCGTTGCCATTTGCATCTGACACCAATCCAAATTTCGCAGTTTTCTTCCACCTCTTCAAAATGTATTTATCGGGCATATATTCAATCTGGTCCCTTCTGAACAATGCTAGGATGTGCTTGCAAATAATTCCAACAAATTCAAATCTTTTGCAGCTACACGATGCGTGGTCAGAATCTTTGACATATACGACTTCTGCCACTCTTGTTTCCCAATTTTTCCTTTCGCTCACATTAAAGACAACTTTAGAAGCATCCTCTGTTTTCAGCTCTAGGAAACATGCTGTACTTTGTATTAGTTCTTGCTCAAACTTTTGAAACATTGTCCTTGTGTACAAGGTAGCCATTTGTTTGTTCATTGGCATCGGTAGAATACATTGAGCCACTTCAAATGCATCTACGTGATCAGCAACTAACTCTTTTTGACGTTGATGAGAAAGTGCCCTCTCAAATCTTATTATGAAATCCATCAACGAATTTTTCCTTGATATGTATTGCTTGAAGAAACCATGAGAACATTCAGCTCTTTGGCTGCTTGACATTCCAGCGGCAAAAAAGTGTCGTGCGTAGGCTGGAACCCAAGATTCCCTTAAATCAAACATTGAACTTACCCATGGATGGTCAGTCAAACCAGCCTTTGTAACCACAATATTCCATTTTGCATCAAACTCATCCTTATTGTCAGTATCCCATATGGCTTTCTGGAATTCACCCCAATACTCCTTATAAGCAGAATGTGGTAACTTAACAGAGAACTTTGATGTGATGTGCCATATGCAAAGTCGATGAAATGTAGTCGGGAAGGCTATTGAAATCGCTCTGCTCATTGCCGCATCTTGATCTGTGATGATCGTTTTAGGTTCGCCACCTGGCATGGCTTTCTTAAACTCCTCAAACATCCAAATAAACGACTCAGTCGTTTCCTTGCTCAAAAATGCGCATGCTAGGACAATTGTTTGACCATGGTTATTAACTCCCAACATTGGTGCAAATGTCAAGTCGTATCTATTCGTGTTGAATGTGGTATCGAATACAACAACATCTCCATAAAACCCGTACGCCCGTCTAGAAGTTGCATCTGCCCAAAAACATCGACTAAACCTGTTATCGCCATCTCCCTCAATCTTGAAATAAAAAGCCTCATTTTTTTTCTGTTCAGCCATAAAATACTCGGTCACTAGTTCAACATCGTGGTTCCTCAGCTTCTCATTCACACTACATTCAAGATTGTACATATCCTTTTTCATAAAACCGATTTTATCCATTCCTCCGGATTGCACCTCGAAAATACTTACCTTCTGATTAATGGGAATATTAACCGAACCCAACTGTTTTGTAAGTACTTTTGTAGAATCTGAAATACGACGGTGTGATCTCAGTAAATGCATTCTTCCTGAGGGTGTCATCTTATGATTGTGTCCCTCTGCAAAAAGAGAGATGGTATACTTCTTGCTCCCATGTGTCTTCACAACCACAATCTTAGCTTTGCAATTGCATCTACTTATTCCCCGCTGTCTTTTTCTCTCCCGAGTTTCATCATTCCGGTATGCACCTTGTTTGCAACATACAAATTCTTTTCTCAGAATCTCTTTCTTATTTTTCCCCCAAAAGCTGGAATGAAGTCGAATACCAAAGCCAGCCAAGAATGCATATCTATTATAGAAATTATAAACGAGGTCAAGCGAGTCGAACTTCATCCCAACTGCTGGTGTTTCCTCATTTCTTACTTCAGGAATGTAAACCCTCCCATTAGCTGTTACAGAGTCATCACTCTCTGAGCCCCCAGACATTTTATCCACGTATATTATTGATCTACTTCTATATTACTGCATAGCAAATGTTAATTCATTAATCAATCATTACTGCATCACAACTTAGCAATGCATTCCACTTACACAAAACATTGCCCAAATTGACACAATACACGCATAGCCTAGCTTGTTGGATTCTGATTACACAAAACACAAGCAAAATTTAATACTAGTTACGTCATCTCTTGTGAAATAATCTGGAAAAAATAACATTAGAACCAACATGTTCAACTAAGAACTCAAATGTAATTCAAACCAGCAATTACAGAACTTCACCCAATATCCTCTCCAAATGCTTACTTCTAATGCCATTAAGCCTAAGTTTAGGATCTTTTACCTACATTTCATAATTTTCCAATCCCCCTCCAAACAAAAATAATCAACTAAGTATATTGAATATTCATAAGGAAATGACGCATTATTGATAGCAGAGCAAATGACGCATTATTGATGCCACAAATGACAAATTTCTCACCCTCACAAAAAACAAATCAAACCCAGCAAAATCAATCCAGCAAGAGTGAACTTACCTCTCAAAGTCAAATGACGCATTATTGATAGCAGAGCAAATGACGCATTATTGATGCCACAAATGACAAATTTCTCACCCTCACAAAAAACAAATCAAACCCAACAAAATCAATCCAGCAAGAGTGAACTTACCTCTCAAAGTCAATCGGGAGCTCCGAACTCAGTCAGCTTCAAAGAATGTGGTGGACATTAGAGAGGATTCTTTCGTAGTGGAGACTCCATCTCTACCAAAATCCAGGAACAACTGCAGCAGCACGAAAAAGAGATATGCTACTTTGCTTTCATCTGGAATCTCTTCTGCTGAACGAAAAAGAGAAGGGGTTTTCACTTCAATCATAGAATCAAAACAGGGCAATAGCTAGGTAAAAGCTATTAATCATCATACCGAGGATACCATAGATCGCAGGCCTCCCAAGGAGCTGATGACAATGGAGCGATTATAGAGTTTGGGAGCTTTGGATCTTTCTAATTGTGGATTTGCATTACATTAAAAAAGAGAGGATTGTGTTCTTGAGTTTTTCACAGAGAGGGAAAAATCTTCAGCTGAAGTTGGGTTTCCAAACGGGTCAGATTTCAACCCGGTTCTACATGCACCCTCTTTTAAAAACTCACCGTTGGATGAAATCCAACGGCTCTTACATACCCCTCAAAAAAACCCCTTATAACTTTCCACTCACTATAGAAGCACTCCAACAACATAGGTTGGATTTACTTGTGGACTTGCCCGGTTTATTGACCCACCATTGCCTGGACTGCTTTGGCCCGCTGGAATCGCGATTTGGGGCTTAGGCACTCTTTTGACCAGGCCAGCCTCCAGCGCAAGAAGTGCTCTAAGGAAAGCCAAATTGATTGCATTGTTGTGTATAAAACCATTCTGAATTGAATTAAAAAAGCATGGTAAAAGCCAAGTCCACTATCTATCGCCAAAGTGTGGATGCATGCGTGTTTAAATTATCAAGAAAACAGAAAATAATAGATCAATCACAAAACAACCCTAAAGATGTTTCTTTTCACCATTTTTAGATCCAAAGCTACATAACATTCAATCTATTTTTTTATATTAATTTTTTGATACAATAAAGGACTTTGACATAGCAAAGACCAACTAGAATTGTGGTTTGGAGCAATTGCTCCATCAGACAAGATCCTGAGTTCAAGTCCTAGCATTCGTGTAGCATGTGTGAATTTAGTATATTATTGCCGCTCTATAGGAAAGGTCCTTAGAAAAAGACTTTGAATGTGTGAAGATACATGCTCTACCACTTGAACTATAAACTCTGAATGATTGCGAAGGAACATGCTCTACCACGTGAACTATAACTCTGAATTTATAATTCAATTATCCACGCAATACATTTTAACAAAAGCAAGTTTTAATTGAAGTGAATTCAAATAATAGATGTATCTTACAAGCTCATATTTATTAAAATTAAATAAAAAAATACAATTTTTCTTCGAGAGAACAAAAATGATTAGGGAAAAGTAGCATACTTACAAAGTAATAAAACGAGAAAGATTTCAAATATACAAACGTAATTGGCAGAGCAGTTTTCCAGTCTGATACAAGAGCAAGTTTACGAGTGGGAGCAGTGCAGTAGTTGATGTTCAACTAAGTTAGCTTCCGCCATATGGATCCCTTGGAACTTGATAAACACTTCACTCTTGGAAAAACAAAACCTGATTTTGCCGGGTTCCCATTGACAAGAGAATTCTCATATATTTCTTTGCACTCTTGTACGACCTGTTTGTCAAACAAATACATTACACCTCCAGGAAATGATTTTAATTTTATTAATTCTTCCTTTCCTAAATAATTTGATTTTGACATATAAAGAAAAAGAAAAAAAGGGAATCGAACTGCTAGGTTTGCTCATACCTCCTTAGCATCCTTCCGTGGTATGCCTTCTCGCAATGCAACAAGCTTCTCAACAACCTCAGGCTGCAACAGAGAGAATCAGACAACTTTGAACAAATCTTTGCAAGACAAAGATTTGCTGGAAAATACAGCAGAATATTGTTTCTTAATATTTACCGGACAGTCAGGTTGATGTTCAAGAATATTTGTGTAAATGAGGGTGAAGGTATCAAGGCTCTCTGCAGAAGCAAGCTCTCTCAAATCACTCAGTATTCTGACTCTGCTTTCAACTTTCTGTAGCCAAGTTCATGAAATCAGAATGGAAAAGCCTTAGCAACGAAAAATAGAAATATATCCCACCAATAAATGGAAAATATCTTGTCAGAATGGAAATATCTTTCACGAAACGTAAAAAACAAGGATCAGCACTTACAGAAACACTTAAATACTCCCTAAAGAAATCCATCAGAACCTCTTCATCTAATCTCATCCTCTCAATGGTCTCTTCCTTGATGTAGTTCTTCTGCAATCACAAGCATCATTAACACGATTAAGTGATGAGAATAGTATGGAAGAATTCATGCTATACTGTCCAACCTACAATTAATAATAAAACAGTTAGCTATTTATCAGAAATTAAACCTGTGTTAGAAGATGATCAACGTAAACAACCACTGTTTCCTCCAAACAAGCCTCAACAAATCTCCTGAACGATCTTTCTTCAATATACCTTAAATACAGAGAAGTACAACCCAGAAAAGCATAAGTCTTTCAATTTGAAGTTGACGTACGGAAAAATAAAAAACAAAACAGAACCAACCATATCGGAGCAAACTTGTTATTTGTTCAATTATTATTTGATTCCAATGGAAAAGAGTTGCAAGAAAAGAATAGACATGATATGTGCAAAACATCATCAATTTCATCTACAGTTAAATATTAGAAGAAGTCAGATATAAGACTCTACCACTGAATCATGACAAACAGAGTTTAAACACCTTGAAATACCCAGGTTAATGTTAAGCTTGTGGGTTCCCCTGCAGGACCAATTTACTGAGTTTTCCAAATTAGTAAACAAGAATATCGAAACTGTGGTCTGTGCAACTGATGATATGTTGGTTCCTTTTCATTCTCATTCTTCACAATCAGGTAGAGAATCTTAAACAGGCAAAATCTCAATGACCAACCAGCACATGGTATCCAACTCCATCTCGCTATGGTGAAAATCCACATTAATATGTAGAACGAAAAAACCAATATTAAATGGAATCTTAATACAAAAATTAATTTATTAATTGACTGAGTAATTAAGATGGTTGTTAAACAGAAGAGGGACAAACACACTAGATTTATGAACTTAGTCCTAATGTATTCCTCTTCACTCTCCTTAACATTAAAATTATTCCTATAAGAAAATACAGATTTACCATCGGCATTAGATTTATGTTTCATAGTGTGTAGAATAAATCAAGATTATAATGAGAAAATGATAAATGCACTTAAAAAATGAATAATGATTCACCAACGACTGAACGAAAGAAACTTACATCTTCACGTCTGCAAAATAATCACCAAAGGTTGCAACTAGATACTCAGTAACCTGTCCTTCACACCACTCTGAAAAATTGGAGAAGACAACACTTAAATGGAGGATCTTATATATAAGAAGAAAAAGTAAATTCTTAATAATAGCAATACTGACAAAAATTTATCACAAAAGGTTTATAAAGAACTATTATTTTCTCACTGATCACATTGACTGTTAAAGTAGTAATTCCTATAGGGGTGTTTTACTCATAGTAATGTACTTTATTACCCTCTATTATTGTTGACCTATAGAGTATTTCACTCATAATCATGTAAAATATTTTTTTATACAAAATTATAAATATGTCCACTTGCTCCCAGATTGAGACAAGGGAAAATGCTTAATGCCCTAACTTTTTCTCCCAACTTTTTTCCCAACCTATGTGGCACTTGATAAGCATACTCCCCAATTGCATTGAAAAAATAACCATCTTGTAGGACCCAATGTGATAGTGCCACATTGTTTGGGGAAAAAAGATTAGGATAACAAGTTGGTAAGTGTAGCACTGTCCTCAGATAATTGATTACCACAAGATTGCTTACGTCAATCTCAATGTGGCATTTGAGTCCATTTGGTGCTGTTTGGTGTTCCACAATATGGCTCTAGTACCACTTAACATACATAGAAATAGAACATAGTTCACCTAATCTTTAGAAGGAGAAGTCTGGTATACAAAGAAACTAAGTAATGGTTTGATAAAAGAGTATTTTCTTTTCTGATACTATGGGTAACTTACTAATAACCCTTCCTCTTTGCTAAATATATTTTTAAACTTCAACCGAAGAGTAATTGCTGATCTTTAATGTTCCCACATGATCTTTTCACATTCCTCATTAATTTCTAAGTTTTCTCTTGTCCTAATTAATTTCTTTGTATTAATTAAATGCAATAAATGTTTTGCTTCAGCAGACTGGCTTCTCCTATTCAAAAAGGAAGAAATGAGAAACAAGATGAGGCAGAGATATGAGTACATATGCAAGTGTCTTAGAAAAATGGCTTAAACAAGCATATCTTCAATTTGTTAAAACTTCAACACCAGACATAGAAGAACCAATTACTATATGAAAATTTTTTACTGGCAAAAAAGAAACAAGAACACATGTGAGCAGGAGAGCAGACACATGGAGGGAGGGAAGTGGAAGAGAGAGAGAGAGAGAAAGAGAGGATGAAAAATATTGATTACAATAAAATTACTGCGACACCAGCGAGTAAATTACCTTACCCTTCTGATAAAGCTTGACAAGTAAATCCTGCACTCCTGGATCTTCAAAGATAACACTGACGGTTTGGTGCACGGCTTCCTACCATCAATTTGGAAATATGATTAAAAACTGTGTGATCCACAGAAGATATGCAACATTTTAATACTTATATGTGACATGCATTTATGAGAAAATATAGTGGGGAGAGGGTAGGCCATAAGGGGTTCAACCAAAAAAAAGCAAGCCATGCATGCTAAAGTTGGAACTTTTTACGAGGTATGGCACTATATCTTGATGAAATATCATAATAAACACAAGTTACAACACAGCAGCAGAAGATATGTGAAACATATGAAGAAAGAAAAAAACATAATATTCCGTACCAAAAAGAACACACTTCAACATACAAAATACCTTTGCAACCTCTAAGAAACCTTTGCATGTGTCTTCAAAGTTGACCTGTAAAATGAAAAGGAAAAATTGATATGATCGTTGTAATCTCACAACCAACCCACAATGCTACATTTGTGCATCTTAAGTTGCTTATATATAAGACTATCTAATTACAGTAACCTATTGAGGATCTTAGTTTGGCACGCTCTCTCTGTATCAATGTAGCCCCTATTTAGTGCAAGTCACTCAATAAACTCATTAATTGAAACCCAAAAGGACAGGCTCGGAATATTAGATCAGACTAGTAAAGAAACAAATTACCTGGATACAACGAAGTTTTAAATAGAAAGATTGAAAACGAAGAAACACAGGGATAAAATAAAAACAACCAAGTTGAATACAGAATTAATAAAAATAACTAAGACGGATATGGTACCTGCTCAGCATAGTTTTGTGGAAGAGCTTCCAAAGTGCTATTACTTAGCTCCATTGCAAGATCATAGCAGCGCAAGTTGTTGTTAACCTGCATACAAATTTAATAGAAAAGCCCGAAAGTAGATTACTTTTCATCCGATCAATAAAATACAGACAAATGGTAAATTGTAAGAGAGTCACAAACCATTGCGCATAAAGGTTCCAAACCAATTTCTGAAGCAGGTTCTTCAAGTCTCTGCCTTCAGCAGCTTGAAAATCAATCATTACCTGCAAAATCACAAAAACCAATATTACAGGACATTATTATTATTATTATTATTATTATGATTATTATTATTATTATTATTATTATTATTATTATTATGCCAAATGAAGAAGCATTATTAAACTTTTTTTTCTGTAAGAATTATTAAATCAGGGCAACCCAAGGAAGAACATTAGCATATCCGGGAAACTTAGAGCATTAGCAAATTAAGGGAGGGAATCATTACGCATCTAAGATCAGTATATTGACAGACACATAATGTACGCAACTTTCTATCAAGGCTGTACCAGTTTAGATGGCACACCGATGAACTTGCGATATTTTATTCAAGAAAAGGTGTTAACATTGCAATAAATGTTATGAACTGCACTATACCCATGCTGGTAGAAATCATGAAATCTCACTATACTAGTACTTAGCATGAAATCATAGCTGAAATGACCTGAATAATTGCCAAGGCAATTCTGTACAGCATGAGATCAGTGCTATTATCACGAACAATTTGCACTTGCTCTCCTAGGATCCTGAATAAATCAACAGCAGCTGGTGTATATAGCTTCCCATCTTCTGTTTTCTTTGGTGGCTGTACCTTATCGGCTTCTAAGATATTCAAGTACCATTTCTGGAAAGTGTATGTGCAAAATTATAGTAAGATGTCAGAATTTTACACCCAAAAAAAAAACTAAAATAAAGCACAAGAGAATTATAAGTAAAATATTTCTACCCTGTTGTAGCTTGCATTCTCTCAACATATGAATTCATAAGGGGATCCATGGAACCACTCTCAGAACACACTTGAGCAAGGGACTCATCAACTCCAAGCCCAATCAGATTTTCTTGGTATTCAACCACCCAACCAGTTACCTAGTTCCAAATAAGAGAGGACAACGCAAATAGGAACTAAGAAATTCAAATTGTAAGATGAAATTCTGTTACATGAAGAATAGACAGTAATGAAAGATACTTTCACAAGTAAACTACTACCAGCTCAAGTCAAACCAAATGTCAAGGAAAAATACTGATAGCAATGTAGAATAGGATGGCTAAAAAACTATATGAAACCTGCTAGAGAATAAAAATATTTTTGCAACCCTTTTAGGATTATGATTAATACATTTCATTCTCTCCCTATTTTATCAACACATCTAAGCCCAATTTCCTGATATCAAAATTTAGTATTGTGAGTCTTATTACTTCAATTTTACTTACTTTTCACATAAAGAACCTTGAATGTTTTTTTTCTTTTAATTACATAATGACTTCAACCTATGATCTAGTCCTTTCCCCTCCCCTCCCAATGACTTGAGCTAAATATTTGGATGTATTTACTGGAGTATAGCAGAATGAACAATCTTTGTCAAATAAAAATAAAAAAATAAAAGAAAATATCGAATACAATCTCAGCACCATTCCACTTTTCTTAGTATACACATGTTTTCAAGCAATAACAGCGCAAAGAATTTGATTCTTTGGGGACAATGTACTTCGAAAACAAATAATCGAAGCGTGCCTATGCTAATAAGTCACCAATCAACCAGCTACTGTTTATAATTAGTTTAACTGTATAACGCACAAGATTGGTTCTCACAGAAAGCAAACTTTTCTGCATGTGAAATGCGAATTTGAAACAAATAAGCAATCAGAAGAGTACCTTTAAAATCTCTATGTTCGTCATTTCATTTGCCCTGTCACTGAGTAATCTAAGCATTTGAACGAATCGCTCAGTATACAGATTGACCATTAGTTGGAATATTTCATATCTGCCAAAATGAAGTTGCCATCAAATTGACAGAACATTTAACTAGGATAGTTTTTCTGCTTTCAGAATTCATAGTATGCTCATATGTGTAATATAGGCATGCATCCACTTTCTAGAGCACTTGATTCTTCGGATCAATTATGTAAGCTTGATATACAGCCAGCATAGTATTTGAGTTCTGGGTTCAAAACCTCACATTCCAGAGTCCCCCAGTTATCTATAAATTGTGTGTAGGATAAGTGTGTTTCACATGTGTAGGAAGAAACTAAATATATGTTTTCTGTCCGTCTATCCATATGCAAGATGATACTGCAGATGAGGAGAGCGTTACTTAATATAAATCATTGGCTGATTCCCTAATAGCTTAACATTTTGGATGTTGCGATAATCTAACAAATTAGAATGGACTTTGACAATTAACTCATTTCAGAGAGTCAACCTTATGACTATAGCAGATATCGATAAGAAAAGACTGCACATGCACCAGTTGCAATGAATATGATTTCTGGTCTTTTATCTCTTTTGAAAGTATATTTGGGATAAGTAATTGTATGTCCATAGAATCTTAGAATCTTTGCCAGGAAGGCATTAAGCTGCTTGTCTACAAGTAAAACAAGTAGTAGAAAGACAACAAACTACAACCATTCCTTTTTATTTCCTCATTTGGAAAACTCTAGAACCCTTATTCCCAAATTTTAACTCCTGTTCTTAGTGGTTAGATTCATTACTAGTGTTGAGAAGTTTTCTTTGACCAGCATTTATAGTGATTCACGCATCAACATTCTGTTAGCGTTGAGCTTGATCAGAAAACAATATGCTGCATAAAAATTAACATTGTTCCACTTTCCAATTTTAACTCCCTTAATTAAAGTTTTTCTTTGGTCAAAATTCTGATTGAAAGACAGAGACATACAGCCTCTCTCTTCAGCCCTCACAACAAAGTAGAATATCATTTGGTATGCTAAGTCACTTCTGAGCTACAGTGCCCTATCCAACTGTTACTACCAACAAACGAATGAAATTCTCACCAACATCAAAATTACAAAACATAAAGCGTTTTCCAAGGGGTAGAGAGAGATAACTTTGAACAAAAGCTTAAAATGACTTGACATTTTGTTGTACAATAATGTTTGATGAAATTTGATTCTAAGATCTATCCTAGACCAAAGAGAACCTTTCAGAACCTGAGCCAAGGCAAACAGATGTAGTAACTCAAAGGTCATAAACCAAGGAAAACAGAGAGTGCAAACCTTGGGGGGAAACAAGGGGCCACATGGTCATATATATCTCCAAGCTCTTCTCCAATCTAAAACATTAAAAAGAAAAAAGGAAGGTGAATACATCATAAAAGATAAGTAAAAGACAAGAAAACCAATCACTAACACCAACAAGTATGAACAACATGATGCTACACCAAATGTACAATTCAACAACCTTAATGAGAAACAAGCTAAAACGAAATCAAACATCTTTAGCCGCCATACATCTCATAAGGTAGGAAAGGGTAAAAATATATGGAAATGAAGAAACGTGATTCCTTCTCAAACAGAATTAAACCTAACAAATAAAAGCTGCTCACATTTGTTATGGTAGAATGAAATGACTCTAAGCCTTAACTGCGCACAAATTCTCTCTAGTGGCAATGCATATCACATTTGATGCAAGCAAGCAAACGCATTTAATGGAGGGGCTAGTGGGCAGAGCAGGTGTGGTGATTTCCAGTTTGCAATTTTCGGAAGACACTATATTGTTCTTGTCCGGGGACATATGCAGAAATAGACCAACCTTTTATTAGTTTTGAGAATTAACAAAGCCAAGTGTGCCCTAGTGGGTATAAATACACAAGGGAAAGAAGCGAACGGTTTAGAGGGTTACGAAGGTGGTCATGGACTACAGAAATTTGGGACTTCCACTGGGAAGTAACCAGCGATCAAACAGCTTTTGGAATCTGGTGGTGGAGAAAGTAGGGAAAAAACATTGGAATAATGGAACTTCTGTCAAGAGGAGGCAGGTTAACTTTGATACAATCAGTTTTAAGTAACTAGTCATATGGGAGGTGGCTTCTCGAGTAAAAGGGAAGGGTAGTCTGGGAACTATTAATTTCATTACGAAAAACAAGGATTTATTTGGGAAGTTATTATGGAGATTTCCATTAGAAAGGGATTATTTATGTGCTATTGCCATTATGGGTGGGATGCTAAATAAGGAGTGTTCAAGTCGCTGCCGTTACAAAGACATGTCCCAAGACCATGATTCTTTTTCTTCTTGCCGTCAGTTTGTAGTGGCAAATAGGGAATGGGCAAGGTTTTGAGTTACCCTTTTTGTATATAGATTGTCCAGCTTTCATAATGTTTCCCATTGCTCAATTTTTACTCAAATATTTTCTTCCTTTCAGTTGGGATTTTGGTTTACAAATAAATTTAAACGAACCTGAAATTGGGGAGACCACAATTTTTTTTATAAGAACAAATTTTATTAAATAAAAATTACAACCAGTTCAGGCGACAAGATGTCCCCCGAATAAGAAAACTAACTGCTAACAAATCTAATGAGAACATAATTGCAATGACTGGAAATTCACCCTAAATAACAGCTGATGGTACTTTAGGAGGTACTTCGGTGCACATGGTGAACCAGTGGGGAGAGAGGAAAACAGTAGGTTTTCTCCTCTGAACCATGTCACAAGTGTTGACCCTACCAAAAGCAATCTGCAACTCGTACATTGAGTGGTACTTTAGCCTTCCAAACGATGGAAGAGGGAAGGAATGGTGAAGATAAGAAGATTAAGAGGGGCTTTGAGAATGGGGTGGAGGCTTTATAGGACAAAGGTACGCTTTTGGTCTTCACTTTGGGCTTTAACGTCTTCTGAGTTTCAGCTTGGGACATACCATTTTCTTCTAGTTTCCTGATTTGAGAACAGCTGTTTTATAAGAGTCTAATTTGTGTTTTGAATCCTGATAATTGTTAGAAATTGTATCGTTTGCTTTATTTAGGGTTTACTTTTCATTGATGTATTGTTGTGGTAGACAAGTCGTCCATCATGGCTGTACTTCTCTTTGTTTCTAATACGAATCTGTGCTTTTCCTTTTTTCTAATGCAAATCTGCTTATCCACAGAATAAATAAATACAAGCTTGCAGGTGTGTGAAATATGAGGGACTTAATTGAGAATTCAAAGCTCCTCCTCCTATTTCTTTCTACCCAAATTACACAAAATACCAAAACTTTGATCCATATTCCCATTGTTTCAATAATTTTTACCAATATTTCCCAAGATATCAATATTTCTGTTGACATTTCAAAATAATCAAACTATCGATATTTCCCCTGACATCATTTACATTATTGATTCCAGACCACACAAAAATCAATGAAAAATCTTATCATACTATCAAGAAGATTAATAGTCAAGTGTGTGTACCGTTCGAGCTTCCTCTAATGCTGCCTTAAGATCCTCGAAAACAAGCTGTTCCAGAAATTACAGTAAGAATAAGATATAGTAAACAAGAAGTCACAATAGTTTTCTCCCAGCAATATGTGGCCAAATGATTATTTGAAACGTACCTCTGTCAGAAGCTTGTTGAATCGTCCTTCAACAGTCTTCCTTATTTGCTCATAGCATTTGTCCTTATAGCCTTTGCCTTGAAAATTCAATTTCTGCTGTGTCAGGTTTCTTGAAGAAGCCGTTGCCGTGGTAGACTTTCTGCAGGCCATAATTCCAAAATAATGCAATTAGATGCCAAGTATGGTTTGAAGTCATATACATGAAAAATCAGTACGTTAGCATTATATTGGTTAATAGCATGAGAAGATTCATAAGATTCAAACACCAAGGAGAGAGATCATGCATAAAACTGAAAATCAATTCAAAATAGTTACTTGGCAGTTCTACGAGGATTTGCAATTGATGCCATGGCACCACCTCCTTCAGCCTCAGCTGCTTCTTCAGCAAGTTGTTGGTCAAGGATTTCTTGCATTTCAACAACCCTAGAAGAAGAATAGAATGGTTATGACACTATTGGATTACAAGAACTGAATAAAAGATAACGAACACCAAAAGCATTGCCATGTACACTCTCACTGTGAAATCACCATATGAAACCCACAATTTTATAAACAGAAAATATGGAACTCGGAGCTTTGAGAAAATACATAATGACCTCTAATTGAACCCAAAAATTAGAATACAATAGCAAGAAGAAGAAAAGGTTTTAAAGCCAAGGAAACAGGAGTAAGCTTTGTTGCCAAGACTCGAGTAAATCTTGTTTAATGGAAACGTTTTTATAAGGAATTTTGTACACAAGATAGAGTGGTTAATTTTAAAAACATAGGTGTCTATCAAGGATCTCTGAAATCAAAGGTCAAGAAGAAAATTTAAATTAAAACTTTTGAGATTTTGTCTAAAAAGAAAAAAGGTAATTTGAACAAATACATACGCAACAGATATTAGTAATTTAACTGCTAAGGCTAAAGAAAAAAGTATACTTCAGCTCAGCATACAAGAAGACAATTACAGAAAATGTTTCCCTGATACATACCTTAAAGCACGAACCAATGTTGAAGGGCTGCAAAAAGGACAAAATGAGCATTAGATCAGGTAATAATTAGAACAACATATAAAATATATATATATATATATATATTAAGGTCTCAGGATGCTTCAACGCATTTGGTAATCTGAAACAATTATACATAAAGAAAGAAAATTAAGGCCAAAAATAGTATGGAAAAACAGAGAGAATTTCTGACACTTACTCTGAAGACGACACTAAAAGCATCATAAGCAAATCTTTTATCATCAAGCAAGAAAGTTAAAGCTCTGTAGGGGTGTAGTGTGTTAGTCACCCTTTGGGTCATATGGTTGGAAATAGATAGAATAAATTTTAAGGTTTTAGCGGGTTGGGGACGAATGAAGTTTGGGATAAGGCCAGATTTAATTCGGTCATCTCTTTGGGCCATACAGAATTCAAGGATATTCTTCTTGACTGATAGGTTGCAGTATGTTAGGATCATTTAGTTAGTGTTTGGGGGCCCTTCTGGGTCCCAACTTTGCTCTATATTGGATGGGATGTTTGAATGTTTGATTTATTCTTTTTCCATCTCACTGTATGTCTTTGGAGTGGATTCCTTGTCCACTGATGTGTAATACTATTAGAATTAATAAACTTCATTTCTTATACCAAACAAAAACTAACAAAAATGAGTAAAACACATAAATTCCAGCGTTAAAGCACCCCTCAGAAGTATATAAAACATGAACCTCAATCACCGCAGGAAATTCTATAGATCATTTAAATAAGAAACATCACCTAGAGCAGCTTCAAATGTGGTTGCAAAAAGTAAATTCGAACTCTAAATAGAACAAACAACCATAAATTTTAACGGCACATATGCCAAGAGGAACAAGAACAATCACACTATTAAACCATTATTCATCTCATAGAGACAATACCTTTCTTTGGAATGATTATAGAAGTTGGAAACATGGCCCCACAATGTCTTCTCAAATGTCTCCCAGGTCCTATCAACATCTTCAAAATATTCTCTAATATGCACCAAATAAAAAATTAAAAAGAAAATAAGTCATCAAGCCTCAAATCACAAACTGTGCCTCGAAAACATCAAATAGATAAAACAAACAGGTACAAATGTCATCATCATGGCCATTATCATTACCCAACAACTTATCAAGCCAACCCCAATGTTCAAATCGAACCAAACAGAACCACATAATCTGCTTAGACGATTTTGCTACTGCAAATACTGATCAACAACATCATATTGTCTCACTCACTCGCTCGCTAAGGGTTCGAAAACCAGTAAACCTCAGAAAAGGATTATGAAGGACTGACAAGTAGTTAGAACTCATCATAGGTATTGAGATTACCAAAAAGAACTATAAATGCCACAGTGAGGTAGAGAAGAGGATGCATATATACCTAAGCCTGGCAACCTCTTCCTTGTGAGATCCTGCAGCTGCTAATGCAAACCTCCGCTTTCCATCAAGAGCTGTTAACCTCTATAGCAAATATGAAAATGAAAAGATTGGACCATAAAGATACAATTAATGTGCAAATTTTGCTGAGCTATCTTAATTGATAAGTTAATTTAATGATGACAAATATAGAGCTGAAACCAAAATAACCAAAAGTTTAAGAAATTAGGCCCAAATGAAAGAGGTGTAACAGACTAAAAATTGCAACATTACTTTTACCTCATATGTATTAATGAGTTCTTTATCATCACTCAAAGAATCCCGTGCCTCAGCGGCTTCAACAGAAATTGACATCATACCCTCAACATCCTACCAAAGATCAAGATTAACTAGTGAGCACCAAAGAACAATGCAAGATATCACCATTTCAATATGTCCCGAAGCTTCACAGATATAGTTAAGTTTCTTTTTTTTTTTTTTTTTTTTTTTTTTTTTTTTTTTTTTTTGTGTAGGAAGGAATGAATGTGTTAAGAAAAATATGGAAGTATGAAATGAAATTGGACCAGAAGTGAAAAACAAGATACAACCCTCAAACTACAAGAAAATTAAGAACAGAGCAGACACAAAAATCATCAACCATCCTAATCCAGAAAACATCAATAAGCAAAAATCAAACATACAATATTAAAACTCCCACCCAAACTAGAAGAAAACCACTAAAGTCAATATCTCTAAAATGTTAAGGTAAAATTCGAAAAGAGTAAATCCAGATTTTCCCAAGTTCCAATCTAATGGATGAGAGTTTGTTGTGTTGTTGAATTTTTAAAAAGAAGTACATCTAGATTTGTACTTAACCAAAAATATATATATATATTCAATATTATTAACACAAATGAATAGTCGCCTTCTAGCCCAATGGTTTCCCTTTTTTCAAAGAGTAATAATACAAAGGACATGAGAACAAACCCTAGAATTTGGATACCAAATGATGTGTCACTGCCCTGTGAAGTTGTCTTTGGCTTAAGTTGTTTAGAGAAACAAGCCGAGTTTTCCAAGGGACTGTTTTTCCTTTCTTTGTGACAGCCATAAAATGATATGCAAGGATAAGAAGGAAAAACTCATGTGGGGCTGTATGGTCTTGGCTGTGCTTTGGGTGGTTTGGGTAGAGAGAAGGTATTTGAAGACTACATTGGTGTGGAGGTTGAGGAGTTATGGGGAGAAGTTTGTTTTTGGTCAGCTCTCTGAGCGTTCTCCAGAGATTTAGTGGTTTCTTTCTCAATTATTTGCCCAGATTGGCATGCTGCAGTGCATAAGTTCAGTCTTTTGTTTCTTTCATTTTGTCTTCTGTAATGGCCCTCTTGTCCATTATCTTTTCCCTTTGTAACTTTATTTTATTTTATTTTATAGCAATAAAATTGTCTTTACAAAAAATAAGAAATTGATGTTTCAGTGCTTTATTTGTGCATATAGGCTCCAACTGAAACTCATTCATTTATAACAAATAAGACACTGACATATTTTTCTTTTTAAAAAGAAACATAATTTTATTAAAGTAGGAAGCTTATTACAAAGAGTGGATAAGGAATCCACAATTTGGGAATGAACAAATAAAAACAAGTACAACTCCAAAATTAAGAGCCTAAAAAAAAAAACACTGACATATCACCTGCCATATCATTTGGTAACTAAAATTTGGAAAAGGTTATGCTGACTCTAATATTATTGTTACTTTAAATGGGAAATTCAAGCATTTCAAGGTATCTCAGTCAAAAGAGAAAGGAAATCTGACAAGAAACTATTAATCCTTCTGTGTTATACACATTGCAGGCACGCACACATACAGAGAATGATCATGACTGACAAAATATGTACACAAGGAAAGGCTTGCCAACCTTCAGGGTTGTATTCAAGTTATTCCTTGCATTGCTAAGGAGCTTTATCTTATCATGGTTTTCAATCAATGTTTGGCATTCTTGACATAGCCTGATGACAAGGAAATCATAACCACCAAAAATTATGAACAGATCAATGCTGTGCAATTGCTTAGGCATAGCAAGTAACATACAAAAATAATCTCCTTTAAATCATAAAGCCTCTAAAATTTCCATAAACAACATACTTTTCAATAGAAACGAAGTTTTGACGGAGTTGGTTTATTGATTTTTGAGATAAGGACAGGGATTCCAGCCCAGCTTGTGCTTGTTCAACCTGCATGCAAAGCACTACCTCGTAAGACACTTGATATTAATTAAAGAGCCCACCTTTCTCACCTCCATAAATGCATCATATAAGACTTGACTCACGATCAATAAGAAACTTTTAATCATGACCAACGAAATATGGATTAAAGTTTGTGCATGTACCTGCTCGGCAACCATAGTGCTAAGTTGTGCATCATTAGCCTGACAATAAAGAAAAATAGCAGCTTTCAAAAGGCAAGTTGATTATAAAAGAACTTCAATATTGCAAAAGGTAATGCCACTAATCAACGAATGTGTTTGCATGTCTGTGCGTGTGTATCATTATCAGACTATCATGTGTGACACTTCAGCAGAAGCAGCTACCAGAAACAAAATTAATGCCGACAGCACCAACTGACCACCACTTATCTGAAAACATAAATTACTTAAAACTTGAACCCCAATATGCTACAGTTCATGTTTAATGCATGAACTGCTTTATCAATGTTAAATTTATTTCAATTCAACTACCATGCCATGAATTGGTTAACTTGATCTTGTGCTTTAAAATTCGACATAAAATTTTTTATTATGTAAAATCTACCGTAGAAATTGAAGAGATATATCATATCACGAAAATAACTTGTTGATTTTAATCATTTAAAATCATCTTTCGCCATCTCCTAAAAATGCAACATATATTACATGAGATTATATTCATCCTTTCCTCTACTTCTAAAGCCATTGCTCTAGATATCTTTATCCATGGTGTCACAGCCAGTCCCACTGAACCACAACTCTACTTTTCCTACCAAAGACATTGTAGACGTCGCAATTTCCGTGCAACTAAAACCATCATAAACAACCCTTAAAAACACTGGCCTAGATAGCTTTTATGTTATGTGTCACAACCATCCCAATCTGAAAACCACTGTTCTTTTCTCCCAACTCAACACATTATAAATCTAGCACATCAATCCAACAATCAGTAAACCAAGATTACCAAACACACAAACTATTCACACCACCAATCAGTGCTTACTAGAGAAACGAATTTAGGTCAACAATTGTTACTGCACAATCAAATTAAAGAACAATATACTCCAATTACAAAGTTCTTCAAAACTCTAATAAGAGACAGCAACATTATTCTTGCCCGACTATTCATATTCGAAAAACATAGTCAAATAGACAGAATTGTAAGACACATTTAGAGTTTTCATTTCAAAATGGAAATATAATTTTTAAAAACAAAACAAGAGGGGACCTGTTGGCGAGCAATGTAATCGGCCTTGATGGAAGCTATGGACTGAAGGAGTTCAGGAAGAGGCAAGAGCTTGGCAACCTCACGAACCGCTGATTCCTTGGCTTCCACACCAAGATCCTCCACCATCATCTTCTTCTTCTTCTACTTTCCACAATTTCAATTACTCACAGATTAAAAACCCTAATTAAAATTGCCCCTATACAAAGCCTAAATTAGGCTACCCAAGCCCAGTTCGGGTGAGACAGAGGAGAAGAACAATTAATGAGACGAAAGGGCGATAAAACAGTCTGAGTTTGATCTTCAGACTCAGAGCTTGGAGAAGCGAGGGAGTTGTGGCAGAGACGAAACTGAGAGAGAAGAAAAAGAAGAAAAGAAAACTGTTGCAGAAGAAATGAGAGACGAGAAGCGAGATGTGGCTGGCTGGCTCAGATGAAAGAGGGAAGACGAAAAATGGGTTTGCGTGCAGCCAGTTCTATTCTATAAGTATAGAATCGGCCTCATGTGCCATAATACGATGCCACATGTACTTTTCCCAACAGAAAACCAAAGTTTTTTTTTTTGTCGACACGGCTTTTTTCGATTTTTTTGACTCGTCCGGCTCAATTTCCTGATTTTCTGGCTCAAATGCCCACCCTTTGAGTAGCTCCAGCGCTGCTTCAAACCCAGCAAAAGACCCCCAAATTGAGCCCAAACACCCTCCAATGCAAGACAAGAGGCCCGGGCAAGAGCTGGGTCCTACCAGCCCGGGCAGGCCCAAGGGCAAGTTTCGCCTGGGCTTCAGCCCGAGGACAGTGACATCAGCACTGACGTCACTCCTGACAGAATCCAACAGGCATGTGCCACGTGTTGCAACAGGGATGCTCGATCGGTTTTTTTCCAGAAATTTGACGGTCCTTATTTTTTTTGCTAAAAAAATTGCAAAAAAGATCGAAAAAATTCTGATTTTTTTTTTTTAAATACCAAAAAATTCTTTATTTTTTCCCTATAAATACCTAACCATTTTATTTACTTTCCACACCAAATCTTCATACAATTTCTTCTCCATCCAATATTTTTTACTCTCCACTCACATTTTTCACTTTCCACACCAATTCTCTATACAAACTCTTCTCCGTCCAATATTTTTTAGTCTCCACTCACATTTTTCTACTACTTTCCATTTGTATAAAAAAAAACAAACAAACAAACAAACAAACAAATGGCATCTTCTGTCGAAGCCGGAGGCTCGTGGGCAACTCAAGAAGATATTGCGTTGTGTCAGTCTTAGGTGAACGTTAGTCATGACCCTATCATGGGCAATGAGATGAAGTTCCATCATATGTGGAGCAAAATTCATGGAGAATTTTGTCAAAGATCAGGTTCCATTCGGACCAAAATGGCTTTTTCTAGTAGATGGAAACTTCTGAATAAAGAGTTAGGGAAATTGAGAAATGCCTTAACAAAAGCAAGGGAGAACATTTGAAGCAGTCAAAATTTTACCAATGAGGTAAAATATTTATAATTGTCATTTTAATCAATTTAATGTAACTTTTATTATTATTGCATATTCTATTCCTTTTTCTTGCATAATCTTTTTTCTTTCTTTTTGCATTTCCAATTTGTCTATATTTTCTTGCATAATCAATTTTATTCTTGCATTTCAAAATAGTTTATATTTTCTTGCATAATAATTTTTTTTTCTTGCACTTCCAATTATTTATTTTTAACAAATCATACAAGCATAAATGTGGTTCGGTGCCATGGGGCAAGGCAAAAAAAGTTTCATGCATTTCCAATGTTGGGAAGTTGTGAAGGATTGTTCGAGATTCAAAATTATTCCCACCGGTCTGCCGGTTGTGTTAAATGAGATGCCGCTCCACGATTCGCCATCAACTGATTCGCCATTTGACTCCCCAATGGAAACGAAGTCACCACTCCCACGTCCGCCGAGACCTATTGGAAGAAATGCGGCAAAGGCCAAGAGAGGGGGCACTTCGAACAATGAATGTGTACAATTATTGGAGCAAATAGCTAAGAACACCTCACTAAGAATTGAGAGAGACTTGAAAAGAGATGAAGCGGACATGGCACGAGAGGAAGCATTTGTTATTCAACAACAGCAGGCATAAGAAAAAGACATGGATGATAGAGAGATGAAAATCATGGCCATGGATACAAGCCATATGTCTCCTGAAACAAAGGCCTATTGGAAGCATAGACGAAGGGATGTGATGAGAATAAAACTTTTCCATGACAATGGACCTAGCAATACGGATTGGTTAAATGATGAAAACCATTAGGTTGTATTGAAACACCTTTGCCATATGTTGTATTGTTGTATTGTTGTATTATCCTTTAATTTGTTGTATTGTTTCCTTTTTATTCAATAAAAAAAAGCATTAAATAATATGAATATTTATTAAAAACATTTGAGCATCAAAACAAAGATTAATTACAAACAAACCTTAATTTATTGCAAACAACACACAAAACAAACCATACATAAAAACATAATAAAATAAAATAAAGCATAATTCCAAAAAACACCACACACAAAATAAAGCATAATTAGAAACAAAGCATAATTCCAAACAAAGCACTAATCTTGACTTCATCCATTGTGATTGCCTTTCATCTCCAACAAGTGCTCGATTAAGTCAACTTGACGTCTCTTATGAACATATGAAGGTTGCATTTCTTGATAAAAATCAATCATGGGGTTGTTGAATCGACCATCCCGAACTAACGGTTCGGGCTCCATTGGTAGTCAATTTGGTCCCATCGGCCTTTCATATTTTCTTGTCAATGCTGTGTTCATGGGATTGGATTCAAACACCTCTGGAGCATCGTAGTCATACTCATCCTCCACAATCATGTTGTGGAGGATGATGCAAGTCATCATAATACTCCGCATCACCTCCTTATCTAGCATCCGAGCAGCACCCCTAATAATTGCCCAACGAGCTTACAAGATACCAAAACACCTTTCAACGTCTTTCCTGTAACCTTCTTGAAAGGAAGCAAAGCTTCTTTCCTTCTCGGATGGGGGATTCAGAATTGTTTTCACAAATGTCGTCCACCTAGGATAAATTTCGTCGGCAAGGTAGTACGCACCAGAGTATACGGTATTGTTGATTTGGTACGTAACTTGGGGGGAATGACCTCGCAATACCTCGTCGAACACCGGGGATTGACCAAGGACATTGAGGTCATTTTGAGATCCGACAACCCCGAAGAAGGCATGCCAAACCCAACAGTCGAATGAAGTTACGGCCTCCAAAATTATACTTTTTTTGCCCTTCTGATTCCCGTACTCTCCTTGCCAAGCAGTAGGACAATTCTTTCACTGCTAGTGCATGCAATCGATGCTTCCAATCATTCCTGGAAAACCTCGAGCCTCGCCTTTTTGTAGAAGCCTTTGCAGGTCCCTCGGCGTGGGTTTGCGAAGGTACTCATTCGTGTACAAATTTTCCACTGCATCACAGAATCTCACCAAGCACTCTAGGATAGTAGACTTTCTCATCCTTGCCATCTCATCCATCTGCTCTGCAGATGCCCCATAAGTAAGCATCTGCAAAGCAGCTGTAAGTTTTTGCTCCGGGATAAGACCCAAAACTCCAACAGCATCATGCTTTTGAATGAAACATGTTTCGTAATTACAAATATCATACATGATTTTTTGGAACAAATTTGGCTACATTCTATATCTCTCTCGAAACTTAGAAACATGATATAACGAATTTGGGATGAAGTAATCCTTCAATAGATTCTGATGAGTCGATTTTATATTATATATTTAGCCTCATTCTTAGTATATTTTGGTTAATATTTTGGAAGAATTTTGATACTTTGAATTATATTTCCAATATAGGACTTTCGACTTCCTCTGGAGCAAAACATAATCAAATGGACGAATTTTGGAGTAATTCCAGTTGGAGGACGTTCATGAGCCACTTAGCTTGATCGTATCAAAATATCAGATTTTTCCACCAAGCGATGATTTCCTGGCGAATAAATGAAGGAGCGATGTGCAGTGCTGGAATAGTGACGTTTTGGGCTTGTATTGCGTTTTTGGAGCCCAAGATGACCTCGGATGGGTTCGTGGCCTTCTGGAGAATGTTCGGAATATTTTTATCTTTAAAACGAGCTATCTTGGGCCAGATTTGGAGGAGATTTGAGACCAAAACGTGGCTGGGCAGATTTGGGCAGATTCTCCTAATCCAATTTGGATTTTATATCATAGTATTATCTTATTTTAACTTAGTTTCCTTGTGGGGATTGGGTAGCTAGGTTTTAGGAGGTATTTAAACTCCTTTTCACAGCAATTTAGAGGACTTCCTTTTTACTTCTTTTTGGCTTTTGGGAGCAATTGCTAGGGTTTTGGATTTTCGCGACTTTCAGGTGTTTTCATTCTTATTCTTCTTAATAATATTTTCTTGGATTTCAATTGTGAACATGCGTAACTAACTCTCTTTTGCTAGGGTGAGGCCACGAGCTTTAGCAAGAATATGTAGTTTCTATCCAATTTGCTTATGATTATATGCATGCAGGTTTTCGAATTATTCATCACTAGGTTAAACTATCTAAGTGTCTTGATGCTTGATCACCATTAGGATGTTTAGAAAAGTAATTTGATGCAGTTTTGGTCGGAGGTCGGTCCCTGAAATTGACGAAGGCTTCTTGTGATTAATATGTGCAAGTGCACTTAGGATGAATACCACGTCTTAAGGGTTGCATGGTTTTTCAAAAGGTTTCACAGAACTTAATGAGTCATGTATGTTTAGATTTGATCTGAATACCACAAACGGATTGCATGTGTGATATACGCTCTATGTTGGGGGTCCAAGTAGGCATATATTAGGAATACATAACCTTCGAAATATGCATGTATAGGTCATAAGTAATTGGGGGAACTATATAGAATTGTTAAGGTGACGGCGGATCCCTAGTGCTTTCTTAATTTGATTTCTAAAAACACAACTGTTTCTCTTGCTCTTAGCTTTAATTTTGCATATTGCCTTATTTTTATTAGTTAAATTCCTTTTAATTTAAGGTCTTCAAGTCAAACATCTCAACTTTCTCTTTTGCAACAATTAATTAGAATTTGGTTGCTACGAGTTATTTAATAATCCTTGCAAAGAACGACCTTGCGAGAATCATTTATACTACAATAACCTTGTCATTCTTGCAAGTTTTGTAGGAGTTTTAACCCTGTTTGCGCAGGTACTAAAAAGCCTATCAGATTCTTACCCTGAGACTCCCTACGTCTATCCAAATTCGGGGCACAACGACGACGGTGTTGCCTTGATTGATTAAGCATACACACCACTGCTGCAATCATTTGTTTCTCTTCTTCATCGGCGTCTCGATCTTCTTTAGCACGTCTACGCCGGATTTCTTTCCTTTCTTTCTATTGCCTCTCCAACACCTTCCTTAAGTTTGACATTGAGAGTAGAATGTGTATTGTAAAATATGAGAAATAAAAGAATAGATAAGAGATGGTGTGAGAGGTATGAGTTGATGGTGTAGTTTTATAGAGGGATTCATAAGATAGAGATGACACGTGGCACAATTTTATAGGGTGAAAATCTTATCTAAAATATGAGATTATAATTTTTTAAAAATATCTGAAAATCTTATCTGACATGGGACACATGACACAATTTTAAAGGGTGAAAATTTTATCTGAAATATGAGATTATAATTTTTTTTTAATGAATATCCGAAAATTATATCTGGAATAAGACACGTGGCAATCGAGATTCTCATCCGAAAATCTTTTTTGAAAAATAATGGACACGTGACAACCAAAAATCTTATCCAAAAATTTAATTACAAAAGATTATCAAAATTAATGGTTTAAGTATAAAAAAAAATAGGAAATAAAGTACAATGAATAGTATTTGCCTTAAACTTGCCCTAGACTTAGCCCTCATGAATGGAACCACAAATGGCAAGGCTGACACTATTCACATGAATAGTGGCAGCTCTTACTTGTACTTGCCCTATACTTAGCCCTTATGGGTGGAGATGCTCTTAGAGCATTTCCAGCAGTTAGCCCCTTGCCATGGCAAGGGGAGCCCTATGGTAGCTACTATTCACATGAATAGTGGCTGCACTAGCCCCCCAGCAAAGTGTGTTTCCAGCAGTTTAGGCTTGCCATGGCAAATACTATTCTTTTTTTATTTTTTTCACAACTTTGTTTATTTAAACAATTAATTTGGATAATATTCTCGGATAAGATTTTTGGGTTCCTACGTGTCAATACTATTCATATCAGATAAGATTTTCGGTTTCAAATTTCAGATACATTTTAAAATTCAACTTTCAGAGAAATTTAAAATGTCAAATTTCATATACATTTCAAATTTCAAATTTCAGATAAGATTTTCACCATCAAATTTTAGATAAGGTTTTTTTCTATAAAACCAGAGGGTCAGCTCATACCTCCCACGCCAGATCTTCTCTACATTTTCATTTCTCATATTTTAGATTTCATTCTCCATTCTCAATGGCTGACATGCAAGAGGTTTTGGAAAGGCAAGAGCGACAAACTAGAGAAAGAATGCGTAAACGAGCTGCAAGCATAAGGGCGCAGAGAGAACTAGATGAGCAACTTGACATAGCCGTTGCTATGCTGGAGGAAGAAAACCAAAGCCGCCGTGGTTCACGAGAAGGTCGTGGCCCAAATGTGGACAGACATAGACATTCTTGGGGTAAGAATCTTATGGAATATTATTTTATCCCACATTCTCTGTACTCTGATGTTCATTTTCGAGCGAGATATAGAATGCAACCCCATTTGTCCAATAAAGTCATGCATGATATTTGCAATTATGATGAATATTTTGTTCAAAAGAAAAATTGTGCTGGAAATTTGGGGCTTCTTCCCGAGCAAAAGTTCACAGCTGTGATACGAATGTTGGCGTATGGGTCATCTACTGATCAGGTGGATGAGATTGCCCGGATGGGGAAGTCCACTATTTTGGAGAGCTTAGTGCGATTTTGTGATGCAGTGGAAACTCTGTACACCAGGGACTACCTGCGCAGACATACGCCCAAGGACCAACAACGGCTTCTACAAAAAGCTGAGTCTCGTGGATTTCCTGAAATGATTGGTAGCATTGACTGCATGCATTGGCAATGGAAAAATTGTCCAACTGCTTGGCAAGGGGATTATGAAAATAGGAAAAGGCAGAAAAACATCATCCTTGAAGCAGTTGCTGGTTTTGACACATGGGTTGGGCCGCCTTCTTCAGAGTTCCTGGATCTCAAAACGATTTGAACGTCTTGGGTCAATCCCCGGTGTTCAATGATGTTTTGAGAGGTGAAGCCCCAAATATCACATATGAAGTCAACAATACCGTCTACTAGAACAAGTATTATCTAGCTAATGACATCTACTCGAGGTGGACAACATTTGTGAAATCAATTCCACATCCCCGATCCCATAAGCAAAATTTTTTTGCTGCCTATCAAGAGGGGTATAGAAAAGATGTGAAGAGGTGCTTTGGTATCCTTCAAGCCCGGTGGGCTATTATCAGGGGCGCGACACGTCTATTTGACGAGGAGGTCCTTAGGAGTATAATGATGACTTGTATCATTCTCCACAACATGATTGTGAAAGATGAGTATGATTACGATGCTGATGAAGTGAATGAACCAGATCCCATGAACACGACCTTAACACAAATTTATGAAAACCCATGAGGCCAAATGGAGAATCAGTGCAGCATGAACCGTTGGTTAGAGATGATAGTTTCATTCCCCGTATGATTGATCGCTACACGGAGATGCAATCGTTGTATATTCATGAACGCCGTCAAGTTGACTTGATGGAGCATTTATGGACGGTCAAAGGCAATGAAGATGAATGAAGTGAAGTGAAGATGTTTTTTTAATTTATTATGTTTATGTTGTATTTTTAGTTATGCTTTGTTTTTTTAATGCTTTGGTTGTGGTTTCTTTATTTTTTAATGCTTTGGTTGTGGTTTCTTTATTTTTTATGCTTTGGTTGTGGTTTGCTTTTTATGTATGGAATATTTTGAATAAAAAGGAATTTTGTTGAATATTTTCTTTATTAATTAAAAGGAAATCAATACAACTAATAAAATAAAATACATGAATTACCACTAATTTTTTAAACAAAACAAAAAATACAATGAAATGAAAGGCAAGCAAACTAACTTAATGGTTTTGATCATTTAACCAATCCGTGTTGCTAGGTCCATCGTCACGAAAAAGTCTTCATCTCATAACATCCCTTCGTTGTAGCTTTCAAAATTGTTTTGTTTAGGGGACATATGGCTTGTATCTATGACCATGGTTTCCCGATCTTTTTTTTCAATATTTTGTTGGCGTACATACTCCCTTTCTTTTACATATTCTAGTTGAATTGCCCTATCGTGCTCTTGTTGTTTCATGTCCATTTCAATTCTCATGGCTTGGTGCTTTGAAATTTCCTCCAAAAATTTAGATGCATTCTTGGTAGAATTACTCACTCTCTTCGCCTTTGCCGCCTTCCTCCCAATAGGCTTCGGCTCATTTTCGATGGGTGAGTCTTAACTCATCGGGGAATCCATAGGTGAATCCGATGCTGGTGTCTCATGGAGTGGCGTCTCGTTCAACACTACCTCTGGACCCCTTGGAATAATTCGGAATCTCTTACAATTATTCACCACCCAGTAGCACCAAACCATATTTGTGCTTGCATAATCTATATATATATATATATATATATATATAAATTAATGGAAATACAAGAAACTTTAAAAAATATTGGCAATTCAACAAGTAAAAAAAAATGGAAATGCAAGAAACTTTAACAATTTATTAGAAATGCAAAACAAAATATAAATATTGCAAGAAAAATTCATATTAATATTGGAAATACAAGAGATATTAACAAAATATATAAATTGCAAGAAACATTTAAATAAAAATCAATATGACATAGAAATTAATAAAACGAAAATTACAAATAATTTACCTCACTGCTAAGGTTTTTCCCGCTTCTATGGTTGTCCATCGCTTTTGCCAAGGCATCTCTCCATTTCGCCAACTCTTTATTAAGAATTTTCCCCCTACTAGATAATGTCATTTCCGTACGGGTTGAACCAATTACCCTTTCACAATTTTTTTCCACATATGACAGAATTTCATCTCATTGCCCGTTACGGGACAATGACTAATTTGGACCCAAGACTCACACAAGCTAACATCTTCCATCATGCTCCATGCCCTTCCAGTTTCACTAGAATAACCCATAATATGATAGAGAAAAATACAACTTGAAAGTGAAAAAAATATTGAGTAGAAAGTGAATAATAGTAGGAGAAGAAAATGTATGAGGATTTGGTGTTAAAAGTGAAGAGTATTGGTTGGTATTTATAGAAAAAAAAATCAGCATTTTTTGGGTATTTTTTTTTAAATTTCGATTTTTTTTTCAATTTTTTATTGGGAAAATATTGGTTGTCGTTCGATTGGAGCAAAAATTATGATCGGAGAGCCCAGGACGCGATACGTGGCACATATCCGTTGGCGGACATTGTAGCGCTGGTTTTCAAAAAAATTTGGAGAGCCCGCGCTAACGTCAACTTAGCCCGCAAGCTGGAGCTTGGGCCAGCCCAGTTCGCCGGGTCCCACTCTTTGCCCGGGCCAAATTTTGTTGTTGAAAACACCATTTTGGGCTTGCCCAGCCCTCCCCTTGATCCCCTTACTGGAAGTGCTCTTATTACAATGTGATTCACCTCTTCTTTCTATGGCATAATGCGAGCACCTTCATCTTTGCTAGTTTACCCTAACCCTATTTTCTCTAGCTCTCTCTTTCTTTCTTTTGTCCTAGATTGGTAGCTCAAGATAGGGGTGGTTGTGATATGGTAATCACGAATTTTTGCCCAAACCGCAAACCGACCAACTATATGCGGTAAGTAGATTTTTGAAACCACAAACTGACCGCTTTTTGTGGTTTACCGCATTGTGGTAAAACTGCAAGTTCGGTTGGTTACCGTGAATTAATGGTTTAAACCGATTCGGATATTTTGGGCCTAAATTAGACAGTTTTAGGTCTTTCAAGTATGGTATTTTTGTGTCATAAAAATCCAATCTTCCACACTTTTAGGCCTAGTTTTGATGCTTCTTTTTAAGCCTTTTGAGTTCAAGCATATTTTAACCCAAAGAAATAAATTCACATCCTAAATAAATAAATTCACAACCTCAACTTCTCAAGCATATATAAATTCACAACCTCAACCTCAACCTCAACTTCTCAAGAATTCACAACCTAAAGAAAAATCCAGTTCAAAGTTAATTAAAGTTACAAACCAAAAGGAAAATGCAATGCAAAATGAATTAAAGTTACAACTCAAAGGAAAAATCCAATTGAAAGTTAATTAAAGTTACAAACCAAAAGGAAAATGCAATGCAAAATGAATTAAAGTTACAATCCAAAGGACAAATCCAATTCAAAATTAATTAAAGTTATAAACCAAAAGGAGAACTCAAGTGTTGGTGATGATGAGTGGATTTGAAGGACCTGGTTGCGTTGTTTGAGCACTAATGCTATCTATAAATAAAACAACATAAGTTTAGTACATTTTATTATAAGAAGGAGCATAAATAACATGAGCATAAATAAACGAATTACTTAAAAGTTTTCATATGTTCCATTTCCTTATAGAATTCAACCTCATCATCCGTTGGTTCCTTGTAAAATGAAAATTCGTCTGCCCTAAGCCAATCACTAGTACACACTAATGTCTCTACCATTTTAGGATGCAAGGAGCTTCTAAAAGGATCCACAATCCTCTTACCTAGGCCAAAAACATTTTCACTAGCAATCGTAGAACTTGAAATTGCAAAAATATCATTGGCAACTTATGAAAGAATATGATAAAATGCAATTTTATTATTATTTAAAATACAGTTGTGGTTTCTGGTAACCGCGAGTTGCCAAATTCATCCACCACAATTGCGGTGCGGTTCCTCAAATAGCAATTTGCAGTCAGTTTCCAGATATTGTGGTTCCAATGCGGTACAATATCGGTTGGTTTTTGCAGTTTTTTGGTTTTTTGGTCTAAAATGCTACCCCTTCAAGCTTTGAAGGGAAGCCTAAAACTAATTTATATCTATATATAAGGGTTAAATACACTTTTGGTCATTGAGGTTAGATCGAAAACAATATGGTTACCAAGATTTCAATTTTCCCACATTCATCATCGCATTTATAGTAATTAACAAACCTAGTTCAATGACTCAATACTGTAAGTTTGCTTAATTAAAAAAGTTTAATATTTCAAATAAAAATCCTAATCCTTTCCCTCTCTTCCCTTTTGGTCATCTAGTGTCGCACCCCACACCCTAGATTTCTTATTGAAATATAAGATGAACCATGTGCATGTCAGATACCTGGCAGATGTTGGGTCCCCTATACTAAATTAATCCTAGCCTTGTTTCAAATGTTCAATCTCCCATAGCAGCATAGTTCTGACGGGATTGCAACCTAGGCTATGTTAACTTGCAATTCTAGAACAATTAGCTTCATAGAAAATTATGAAAATTTGACACAATGATTTCCAATGTATTAGCTTTCTTCTCCAACTGGCCTTACGCTCAAACTCCTCAGAATCGTTGATTGTCCTTCAAAAACCTTATAAGAGCGCAAAAAAGCTAAAAATAAGGAAAGTAAAGTAATAAGGCTCTTTTTAATCAACTTTCCCTGCAAAAACCAAATATAAAGGGTCTAAAAGAAATGAGGCACTTATCAATGAAGGATCTCAAAATTCCAACTTGCCATATAATCAAAACACACAAACCAAAAGGTTCCATAGAATCCAACATGCCTCAACGTGGTGTGCTTGATCTCGTGTCCTTAAGTCTTGGAGGCGCAAAACAGATAAATCCAGTGAGTAGACAAAAACAAAATTTTTGAACATAAATATAATGAACTTACTAACCTTGCTGTTTTGAAATCAATGAGAGGGGAACCATATATGTAGCATCCCGTCCCGAGATTTACTTTAATTTTGAAATCTTATTTGTGAAAATTACCATTTTGCCCTTTCGACTATAGGCATTTTGGTCAATTTTTGTCAGGACAAGTTTTAGGAAATTCCTTTGCACCATTGAGTAGAGCTCAGTCTAATGAGTTTGCGAACACATACTAGGCTCAAATCCAAGTTTTAAGGAGGACATTACGGTCAATGAACTTCAAGAACAATTTTGTAATTTAAGACAAAATAATAAAATAAGTGGTTTAAAGCTAAAGCATGCGTTTTTGAGATAGGGAGAAGTGTGCCCTACTCTCTCTCTCTCTCTCTCTCTCTCTCTCTCTCTCTCTCTCTCTCTCTCTCTCTCTCTCTCTCTCTCTCTCTCTCTCTCTCATATCAGTGCATAGCTCCACTTTAACTTCCTTGCGGCGTTGTGCTGCCGTTCGGTCACAGTTGCTGACGCCACCGTCAGAAAAAGATCAATGTCGACAGTCAAGCCTAACCCACCTAAGTAGAGTTGTGCGGTTAGACTAAAAATACTGAAAAACACCGATTATCGACCTACTTTTGGGGTGGGCAAACTGTGGTTAACTTGAAAGTCAACGCTTTTGCTGTTAGACAACTGGACCGACCAATGACGATATTGGTACTACGATACCTAAATATCAATTCCGTCGGCTACCGCAACTGACCAAGTATATTAAAGAAAAATAAAAAAAATAGAAAACTCCATAGAAGTTGAAGGTTTCCTCTCCAACTTCCTACTCGCAACCACCCCTACCCTCTCCCTTTATTTTTCCTCTCCCCCTTATGCTTTCCTCTTCCTCATCACCACCACAACCACTCGTCAACGCCAACCCAACCATGCAATTAGAGAGAGAGAGAGAGAGAGAGAGAGAGAGAGAGAGAGAGAGAGGGTTTAGGGTTATTGGGGTTTTCAAAAATATTAAGACAAAATGAAAGTGCATTGGGAAGAGACAGGGCACATGAAGATTTCAAAAGGTGCTAAGTCATAAAATACTTTGGAATCTGTTAAAAAAATGTGCATTAGGGGACAAAAACTAAACTTTTTATTAGTTTTAAATATTTTTAAATATTAAATGTTGCATGCGTTGAAACCAATTCTTCCCCTTCTCTTTATTTTGTCTCATATCTATCTTATCCCTTGAAACCAACTCTTTTTATTTATTTTTCTTTCTCCCTCTTCCTCTTCGTCTTCGACTTTTTTTCTTCCTTTTATGACAGGACCAGACCATAATTCCACTTTGGAATCCAAGCCGAACCCTGTGTGTGTCCGACACTTGGCAGGTGTCGGGCACAATGACTAAATTGCCCTTCTAGTTAAAAAAAATTCGGGTTTATTTCCAGTTCGACTTCTGCCGAAAATTCGGCAGTCTCCCATTTAATTTGATCATTTCCCCAACATTTCAACCTATCAAAAGCATATATATACACATCCCAATTGCCAGCATGCATTCAATTTACATCTAAACAGTTCTACTAAACTAAACGGCCTCAGGCTATACAGAAAGTCCTAGGGCAATTCATTAGAGCAACTAATTCAAGAATATACAACACAACAATTTGATTTCAAAAGAAAATCCTATATAAGAGAGAGAGAAGTGCGGAGTGTGGAGACTACCTGGTGGTGGTGCTCTGATGCACGTCTAATGCATGGGGGCACAAAACATTCAAAAATGTGAGTGGACCAAAAATAAAGTTTTAGAAAATAGCATATGAACATACTAACCCCTCCGTCAAAACATTTAGAAAACTTAATCAAGTTGCATACAATACTCGTACAGAAATCATGCATGCATATTTATATTTATATAAACGTTCACATGCTCACAGAAATCATCAAACAGTTTAAATATTGAAAAATAAATATTTCTCTACCACCTAGTTATACCTATTTTATTTCCGTCAATTCCCATATTTATCTTTCAATTCCCTTATTATCCGTCAATTCCTTACTTTTCGTCAATTCCCACATTTATCCGTCAATTCCTCGTGTCACATTTGTGACACATCCTTGCAAGTCTCGGTAACACAAAGTCGACCTGAGCCACAATCCTCGCAAGATTTAGGGGACATTTAGTCAGCTTGATCCGCATTTCTCGCTCCCATGGTCCAGCCGTCCACCGAAACTCGTGGGACAAATGTCAAGCGCGCTGAGAAAACTAAGGCATCCAGGTTTCTGATTCATGGTCCGCGAATTCCTACATGATCCTAGAGATGCCTAGATCAACATATTTGAAAATGGAGTCGATCCAACTATCCAAACATATCAAACCAGGATAACGCCTAATATGCGTAATCCGATCGACAGTAAAATGGTAATCAAATTCAAATCCGAGCATGCCGTCGTGCTTGGGACAACATGGGGATCATTTTAGGACCCAATGACCCACCACAAAGCGGCCCACATATGCTCGCATCATTTTGGCCTCAGGCCTCTTTAACTCAAATAAATCGTTTTGCAAACTGAATTTGATCTCAATTTTAGAACAACATTAGTACAAAAATAGGTTTCAAAATAACTTAACTGAATAACTTTTCAATCACTTAAACTCGCGGCTGTACTTAGTAACTCTAGGTTGCCTACCCTTAATAAAGGATCAAGCCACATGTAGTTCTTCCTCTTTTTATATTGCACTTGTGTATCTCGTCAATTGTTATTGTCCATTGTGATTGCAAATCAATCCAAGTTCTCATGTTAGCGATATGCTCAATAACATTCACAAACTCTAAAGTAATACTTTCCAACTTTCCCAATACTCAAAACAGTTCATACTTAGAATATAAACAAGCCACTCACTGAACTTCCTCTAATTCATAAATCAATTTATGTATTATTGGATTAAATTAATATATATATAATAAAAATAAAGATGAAAATAAAAATAAAAATAAAACAAACAACTGCCGAAGACACTTTTAACCTTTCCTTCGAAACTCACATAAAACCCAATTATAAATACACACACACACACACACACACACACACACATATACATATATTTATAATTAATTTATTACAGATAAGTCGGAAAACGAGAAAATTATTAAAATGACATTGACCACGTGAAATCTTAATGTCAATAATAACAGCTTAACTAAAACACATATTTTCCTCTTTTACTTATAAAACAAACTCATCGCTTAAGAAATTAATTGTGAACTATATAAAATCCTTAAAACTTAGAAAACTCTCCACTTGGACATACCCCCAGCCATATTCCGTCAATTCCTTTAATATTCCATCAATTTCAATAACATTCCGTCAATTCCAACAACATTCCGTCAATTCCAATAATATTCCATAAATTCCAATAATGTTTCGTCAATTCCAAGTATCCTATCTGTTACATCCTCGCAGGCCTCGGGAACACAAAGTCAACCCGAGCCGCATTCCTCGCAGGCCTCGGGAACACAAAGTTAACCTGAGCCGCAATCCTCGCATGCCTCGGAGACACCAAGTCAACCCGAGCCACAATCCTCACACCACACGGTTCAGGCATCCTCGAAACTCGTGGGGCATTATAAAAAATAACCAAATTGTTTCAAGGCAACTAGGGGGTACTCTTGTGGTGGGTTTGAAAACCATATCCAAAACTTATCACAAATTTTTCCTTTATTCCACAAATCCATTTTTCAAATCTTTCCTCAACTTTACAAAAATCAGTTCTCAGCTGCCTATCAATTTACACCACATACTATTGAGAACTAAAGTCCATAATTCATCATTTTCAACTACTAAGTATATATATTGAATGTAAACATGAACTTAGATATTTAATTAATTGATTAATCACGTCACAATCTGATTAACAAAGTATTCCATTCTGATACTATAATAATAATCTTAATGGTAATAGATAAGTAAATAAATAATAAACAAGTAAATAAATAACCACCACCCCTAGAGATTTCAAACATCAAGATGATAGAAATATTCACAATTGGCAATCTATATATATCACTATATATATGTATATTTTTTTTTTCATTCCATAACCATATAAATCCATAATAGATTTCATAGTAATTTAATCAATGCACAGTATTAACCTTTAAGGAAAATCTCTTATCAAATTATTTCCCATTCTAAACTCATTAAGCAAGAATTTCCATAAGATACTATAAAATAGTTCCCTAATCTCAACATAATCAGAATAACTTGACTACCGGTCAAGACTCGTTTACAAGGTTGTTTTAGTACTTCTCGAGGGGTCAAACTGCCAAACTTGGTCCACCTGGCCCTCAAGGCCCATGATCTCCAATTCTTGATCCGGGAGTTCATATAGGTTCTACACACTTTTCCAAACCTATCCTACAAGTTTGGTCCAAATCAAACGGTCAAATTGCTCACGATCGCATGATCAGACGATTAACGTTTATCTAAACTTTAAATTATTGAACCGGAGTATCTGGGACTCCGATTCTCGATCCGCGAATTCCTATACAATCCTAGAAGTGCCTAGATCAACATATTTGAGAATCAAATTGATCCAACGATCCAAACATATCGAACCCGGATATCGCCTAATATGCGATATTCGATCAACAGTCAAACGGTACCCAAAATGAAATCCGAGCATACCATCATGCTCGAGACAATATGAGGACCAATTTAGGACCAAGAGGGTCACCCACATAGTGTCCACGCACCGCCACACGCGCTGCAACACGTAGGTGTCCAAAGCAATATTGGAGATCAGAAAATCTCCAAACCACCGGTCAATACTTATACCTATATGATCAGCACATAGAGTGGAGCAACTTTTGTTCTTGGACCTGCCCCAAAAAGTTGACAGAAGTGGCTGGAATCGGAGGTCGAAAAACGGCAGATTTTCAACTGCTTATTTAACCCCCTAAATGCATAAATCTCTCCTATCCAACACAACCAGCAGCTAGAACGTCTCGAGAGGTTGAGAAAGCATACCTGGATCGCAAAATTTGGTCGTCATAATCACCCTAACGAGCTTCTGAATTTTTTTCCAAAACCGGCCTTTTTTTTACGGTTTCCAGCGATACACGTGGCGAATTGAGGCGACAGAGGGCTGGGGTTGGTAGATGAAGAGGAGGGGGTCATTTTTCGGTCTAATCCCGTGGCCAACCGTGGCCTGTGACGGTGGCTCTTGGAAGCCACCGGCTGAACTAAAAAAAATATGAGGGAGGAGGTTCTGCTCGTGGGGTGAGAGAGAGAGAGAGAGAGAGAGAGAGAGAGAGAGAGAGAAAGAGAGAAAGAAAGAGATTCTGGTTTTAAAAACTAGTTTCAAAAAATTACGATTTTGCCCATACTTGAATTTTGATCGTATCTCTCTCCTTACAACTCAGCTTTGAGCCCACTACGTGTATTGAGGATTCTGCTATGCGTGCTGATGAGCCTAGTCCCCCGGTTGGACGGCTCGTCCCTGGCCACATTGTGGTTGAGGAGGCATGATGTGTACTATCACATCCCCTTGGATACTAATACTTGGAAACAGTGGAAATGGATACTTGGATACATGAAAATGGATAGCTAAATAGTCTGCGCACGTAGGACTTGTCACATGCCCACGAGTATTGAGGATTCTGCTGTGCGTGCTGGTTAGCCCAATTTCCCATATGGACGCCTCATCCCTGGCCACATGGTTGTTGAGGATTCCTCTATGTGGGCTAGTCAAACGATCCCTGGGTTAGATTGTCTTCCCCTGATACATGATGATGGTGTGAGGTGTGATATATATATATATACATACATACATACATACATATTATATATATATATGGGGATTCGTTTTTGGTTAAGATTCTTGAACTTATGCTTCGTTAGAACCCTGCACAGGTATGAATGTTGAAATCATGGTTTGGAAAGTGTTGTTTGGCAACATATGCCTTGGATATGGTATGGTTGCGGGGATGAACGGATAAAAGGAAAGGAACTATTAAAGTGTTCAGCGGTTGCCTTATCGAATTTGATGTTGAAATTGAATCTAAATTGAATCGTTGGCATTATTTTAAATAATCGTATATTATCTGAATCGTGATTATTGATTTAAGAACTACGTGTGGTTTGATCCCGCACAAAGGGGTACGTAGGTAGCCTAAGGTTTAACCTAGGTGCAGCTGCAAAACAAACTGTTAAAGTTATGCATTATCTACATTATGTGTCTAGGTAGATTGACTATGATACTATGTCACACATTTCCGTTCAATTGTCTAGTCTATGATTTTATGAAGTTTAAATATTATGTGGTTGTATACTTAGAGCTAGATAACCTTTGTTGTTAACGTGCTTATGTATTAAAGCCTTACTATGTTACCGTATTTTTGTGAAGTTAGTTGTGGGCTCTCGTTCCTTCAGAGTATGCACTAATATACTTGTAGGTTCAGAGATGTCAGACCTTAAGGCATACATGCTTTGGTATATTGGACCCTAGTATGATGCGTGACTAATACTCTATTTATGAAATCACATAGAGTTGGGTGGCGTATCGTTTTATACATTGAAAAACATGATTTATGAGAGGAATGATTGTGAGTATTTTGACTACATGAGATTATAGATTTGTGAAGTTTTAAGAGAAATGCTTGGGGTGTATATGAGAACTGTCTTGGTATTATGATATTTACGACAAAGGGCAAAATTTTGGGAGATTTTGGTAAATATAAGTTGGGAGATTTTACATTATGATATTTACGAGTGAAAATTTTGGTAAATATCAGTTATTCAGTTTTTTGAGCCCACTATGTGTCTACGGACTCATCTCAATGCAATCTACGTCATGATGCTATTCATTTCCCCAAAATCCTTCCGGATTAAAAAGTGACCAAACTAACCCTACCACAAAGGGCAAAATTGTAATTTCACAATTAAATAATTTAAATAAATTTATAAGATTAATTAATTGATTAAAATTGGGTCGAGATATTACAACTGACCATCTCAACCACTCACAGTGACAAATCAAGCTTCTAACGGCTGATGGGTTTCAAACCTTTTCAACGCGGTTTTCAGTGGCTATTTTGTTCAAACCAAGTATGGTTTTTTTATCATCTCCTCATGCTCTAGCTAGTGGTTTAAGTGGGTGAGATCGATTTGATCGTTAGACATCACCGGTGGCCGTCAGTTTGGCCTGAAAGTGCCATCAAGCCCAGAGTAAAAGTTGTCCCCGTTGTTGCTCTGAACATTTTGGTATAGGCCTTGCCAGGAGGTGATAAGTTTTTTCATCATCGGAAACCTCCCCTGAACCACCGTCGTCGGTGGCGACGCGTTTTTCACCTAGGATAATCCCCTCATCCTCCTGACAAGAGATTCTGTCTTTTGATCAACAATTTGAATTTCGCCTATTATGCATCTCTTGATCATAAAGGATCAAACCGTCGGCTCGGTCCCATCTTGGAGTATGTTGTTCCTCGTACCACTACGATCATGTAGAAGTTTAAGAAACTAGATTCGGACTTTTGGATTGAGGATTCTGTAGTTAGGTTTGTCGATCGTCGTCCAATGGTATAATCGACAATGATCCAACAGTTGGATCGTGACCAAACTTGTGTGACATGTGTTGTAGACTGTTGTTGACCTATATGAACTTTTGGATAGGAAATCAGAGGTCGTGGGGTCCCTCAGGCCCAGTTGACCTAAATGGGGGGTTTCGATGGCTCGGTTGATTGGATATGACACCCAAACCAAATTTTAACTGTTCGTTTAATTTATTTAAATTTATCTAATTGTGAAATTACAATTTTACCCTTGGGATATGGTCATTTTGGTCACTTTTTAATTCAATAGGATTTTGAGGAATTGAATGGTATTATTGCGTAGAGCTCATCGATACAAGTTCGTAGACACGTAGTGGGCTCAAATCGGATTTTTAACGAGAAAGTTGTGATATGCGGAAGTGCAGTGACATAATCGTAATTTGGGAGAAGTCAAAATTTAAAATACCCCAAGTCAGACCTTCCCACACCCATACTTGGTGAGTCCTAAGTTTGGTCAGTTCACGTCCCACAAATATTCTCTTCATTCCCCCACATAAAGTCCCACAAACTCATCATAATTCCCAAACCCGTCAGAACCTCATCAAAACCATACAAACCTGTTCACAGGTCCAAAGCATCAACTTCCTGAGCTCAAAATGAAATAGTTGCTTCTTCACACTTGTTCACCTGCCTTTCTAATAGAACATGTTCGAAAATTAGCCCAATTGGAGAAATATAAACACCTCAAGTTCGAGGACGAACAGCTCATCTTAGTCTGGTACTCTGTGTTATGCACGGGTTTGTCTTTGCATGCGAGTTTCGGTTGCAATTTCCACCTCTATTCCTTCACAAAATTTGTTGCTGAGGTCAAGTGCTACAACATAACCAAATTTCAAGGTAATCGGGGATGTCTATCTATCTTAAACCGTGTTCAAGGTGAGACTAGTGTTCTCTTACTCTTCTTGTTTGCTGGTGCCACACTAGTGTGAACTTATTCACTCTTGCATGTAGCCTTCCTCTGCTCTAATGGAATATTACCCTTCATCAACACAGACTTCTGCTCTTTGTTTTGGTATTTACACCCCGAATCTTTGGATGCATGGCTTTCGTTCATCTCCACAAAAATTAACATAGCAAACTTGATCCCTGTGCGCTTCGTTATGTTTTTGTGGGTTATGCCACTCATCAGAAGCTACCGCTGTTATCACCCTCCTACCTGACGTACATATGTCACTTTGGATGTGACCTTTCTGAAATCTGAGCTGTTCTTCCATGACCCATCATTCAATTCTACATTTAAGGGGGAGATATGAAGTGAAGAACAGAATTGGAGCAACTTGGAAAACAAGAAATTATCCATTGTACAGAAATGATCAATCATCCCAAGTCTGGAGCATGAGATTACTCTCTGCCGAAATGTGAATTGCCCATTCATAGTGATCAATCGCCTGACCCACCTGATCCCTGTGAATATATTTTTGATCTGAGTCCCACACCTACAGACAATACAAAACAACACGATAAAAACCCTCTTCTAACTCAACAATACCAAAAAACCAATCTTCTGAGAATATCCTTAAGGTAACTACTCCTGCTACACTTGTGAATTTAGAGGATAAATCTATTGGATACCAATTACCTTTCAGGCAAAATCGTGGAAAGCCACCAAATCATTATTCACTTGATATTGGCAAGACATCAAAGTATGCAATTGCGAATCATGCAATTGCGAATCATGTATCCATTGAGAAGCTGTCTGAACCACTCAAGACCTTTGTGCATCAATTGTCTGCTGTTCATATCCTAACCAAGGTTGCTGAAGCATTTAAAGATCCTAAGTGGGTTCAAGCTATAAAGGAAGAGATGAAAACTCTTGAGAAGAATCAGACTTGGACATTGGAAACTTTATCATGAGGAAAAAAGACTGTCAGATGTAGATGAGTGTTTACCATAAAACACAACGTTTTTGGATATATCGAGCGATATAAGGCAAGACTTGTGGTGAAATGGTACACACAAACTTATGGTATAGATTATGAAGAAACCTTTGCACCAGTTGTAAAATGGAATGTAGTCAGAGTCTTATTGTCCCTTGCAGCTAATTTGGACTAACCACTACACTAGTTTGATGTAAAGAATGCCTTCCTACATGGAGAACTCACGGAAGAGGTGTATATGGACATTCCTCCTGAATATAATACTACTCAGACTGGAACAATATGCAAATTACAAAAAGCGTTGTATGGATTGAAACAGTCACCACGTGCATGGTTTGGATGGTTCACTGTGGCAATAAAGAACAACGGTTTCAGACATAATAACTCAGATTATACTTTGTTCTTGAAACATCAGAAAGGGAAGGTAACAACTTTAATAATCTATGTTGACGACATGATTATTACTGGGAATGATAAACATGGAATATCTCAACTACAAGACTATTTGGCTATTGAATTTGAGATAAAGAATCTAGGTGGACTCAAATATTTCTTAGGGATTGAGGTGGCCCAATCACAACAAGGCATATTTCTCTCATAAAGGAAATATGTCTTGGACTTGTTGACCGACACATGAATGCTATATTGCAAACTTATAGACACTCCTATTATTCAGAATCATTATCTTGGAGAATACCCGAATCAAGTTCCAACTAACAAAGAAAGATACCAAAGATTAGTGGGAAGATTGATCTACTTGTCTTATACTCGACTAGACATTGCTTATGCAGTGAGTGTCGTCAGTCAATTTATGCATTCTCCCAGTGAAGACAACATGAATGCAGTTATTCGGATACTTAGATTTTTGAAGTCTGCACCTGGAAAAAGACTTATGTTCTCAAAACATGGTCATCTGATTATTGATGGTTACACAGATGCAGATTGGGCAGGAAGTATAAAAAATAGGAAATCCACATCCGATTACTTCACTATCATGGGAGGTAATTGGTTACATGGAGAAGCAAGAAGCAGAAGGTGGTCGCCTTATCCAGTGCAAAAGCTGAGTTTAAAGGTATGACCAAAGGAATTTGCGAACTCATTTGGTTAAAGAGGTTGCTTACTGAACTTGGGTATAGACCTACATCTGTAATGAATTTCTTTTGTGACAACAAGGCTGCAATAGCTATTGCACAGAATTCAATTCAACATGATCGCACCAAACATGTTGAGGTAGATTGGCACTATATCAAACAGAAGCTCGAAGCTAAAGTGATACAGTTTCCTTTCATAAATTTTAAGAATCAATTGACAGATATTTTGACAGAGGCAATTTCCAGTAAAGCGTTTCACAATTCACTGGACCAGTTGGGCATTGGTGACATCTATGCACCAACGTGAGGGGGAGTGTGACTTGTGGACCATTGACTTTCTTTCTTTACACACCAAGGATTCCCATTATAATTATATTTGATTTACTTTAATTCATGATTTCCTACTGTAAATCGAAATAAGAATTTATTATTTATTTACTCATTAAAATTCCGTTGTACTATAAATATGACCTCATACAAAGAGAAGAATACACAAAAAATTCCCACAAATAAATATTCTCTCATAGTTCTCATATTTTAGCATAAAACTCCTCTCAGTTTCCAAAGGAGAATTCTAGGGCTGGTCTTGTCACTAGCTGCTTCACTTTGTGCCAAACCATCCAACAAGCTTAAGTGGTCCAAGGCACACAAATTCATAGGACTTGAGGAAAGGGTTGTGGTGTGGTACATGGATTTAGAAGGACCATTGGACACTCTAAAAGTAACAGAGGTTTTGGGTGCTCAAAAGCACCAAAACCCAAGCCCATTCTTGTTGAGTCCAGTCATATGGGTAGGCATGAGAGAAAAAAGTCATGGTGGCACTTCCTTTTGACAGTTGTTTACTTACTAACCCTCTTTGGCAACCTCTCTTGATAGCTCCTTACAAACTAGCCAAAACTCAAACAATAAGGGCATACAAATAACCAAGTATGATTATTTAATCTTATGCCTAGTTCAAACCTCACCATTTTACAACCTTGAGAAGAGGAATGGAAGAAAATAAAATGGACTTTGCTAGGAAAATAAAACCTGGGAGATTCAACCCTTGGAAGTTAGAGGAATCTCTGACTTCCCTCTTTATTTGGGTCCCTATGAATCACTAAGTCCTAGTACATTCACTTTTGATCTTAGATGAGAATGTTGGGAGAAGAAAGAGGTTAGAAGATTGCTATAAGTGGAAACTTATTAGGATTTGACTAGGGGGAATTTCATTAATATATCTAATTTATGTAACCTCAAACCCTTATAAATTGAGAATTTGTAAAGAGGAAGAGAGAACTTAGTTTGGACATAGGATAAGAGGGGGGAGTGGGGTAAGAGAGGCACACATGTACCACTTACGCTAGGTCTTTGATTCATTCTCAAAACCTTTCAAACCACAACGGAACAATTTTGGAGGTTCTGGAAGCACATTCATGCAAAATCCAAACTTCTCTCATCTTCTTTCATACTACCTTTTTAAATCACCGAAGCCAATCTCATTAAGCAACATCTCAAGTCCTTAACCACCACCAAATTCCTCACAAAATACTCCAAAATCTCAAGAATTGCCAAAAAAAGGAACCCTTTCCAACAACGAGAAAGCGACTCCGAGCTTCATTAAACATTCTTATGCAAAGCCTCTGGTTTTCCATGTCTCTACCATTTAAATAACCAAATTCAACATCTTAAATCACTATCTCATTCCCTTAAATACCACTAAAATAGCTCACAAAACACTCTAATTGATCTCAACCATAACCTAAAGGGGAAACATTTTCACATTGCTACCAGTTGTCTTTAGCTACTGTAAGCACCCAAAACTCAAGCTTCCCCCATCTTTTAACCCACCAAAGCCACCATGCTCATAACCGTACCCATTACAAAGCTCTTAAATCCCAAGCACAACCAAAGGAAAAGTTATTTCATGCGAACATTCCGTGTTGCTAAATTTGTGGATTTTTAGTTCACACATCAAAAGCCTTTCATGATAAAACTAAGCAAATATTGATTCAAATGGTGATCTTGCCATTACATCCCAATGAGCTATTGAACATTATTAAAGCATTCCCTAACTGTATGTAAGGCCACTATAGTATGATGGACTAGGCATCCCCAACTACTATTGTTTTTTACTTCCCCAAAAAGGTCTTTGGAAATCTGAATGCTATGCTTCTACTTCTGCTTTTCTGTTTGGATACATGGTAACATGTCCCCTGTATTTGGTGAGGGATGAGCTAACTTCTTCAAGAGGGGGACCATTCCAATTTCAATGTAATCTCCAACCCAATGGGGTAAAAGCCAAATTTCCGGTTTTTAGTCCAAATCCATCTCCAACCCATGTCTTGGGGCTAAAAACCTGCCCTAGCAAATAAGGTGGGCTAAATTTTATTTAGGATTTTAGTTGTTGTATGCATTTTAATTTAATGTTGTTGTACTCATTTTCATGTTAAGTGAAATTATATTATGTTTTGAAATTTCAATTTTTTAAGGTTAAAAATGTTCAAAAAATTATATCACGAAGGTTTAAATAAAAATAATATCAAGAAAAATTAACAACAAAAAAGGAGTTAAACAATTCTTAAACAATTTAATAAAGCCACCAACGCAGGGGTGGAGGAAGAAATTGTTTAAATCCGAACAATACATGAATAGTTTTGTTTTAAAAGGGAAAAATTTGGGGTTAGCCTCATTTGAGTTGGAAATGGCCCAAAGCCCAAAACTCTTTCAAGTGTTTTGGGTATAATGCTAGAAACTCATACACATTCGTAAGTTAGAGCTCGACTCATCCTTATGGCATCAAGTCCACTGCAGCGCTACAAAGATATATATTTTTGAGTGATGCTAAATGAACCATAAAATTAATTGAGTACATCCTATGATCTAAGTACACCATATTATTTTAATCAAAATATGAAATTAACTAAGTACACCCTATTTAACTACCAAAAATACCCCTGGTACACCATAATACACTTTATCACAAACACCAAACCCACCTTGCTGCCAAACTTGCTGCTTAACCCACCAAAGCTGCTGAGGTTGATTCTGTCAAACAACTGTGGAAGAACAGGCAGGAGCTGAGGGTGGAGGATGCCGGGATTGCTGTCCTGTTTGGTTTGGAATGCTTTGCCTGGTTTTGTGCTAGTGAGATTGTAGGTCAAGGATTTACATGTTAATGGTTACCATGTCTAGGTTATGGGCTTGGTCTAATTAGTTGATTTTGTTTTCTATATTTAGCTTCCTTGTTATCAGAGAGATGAAACTCAGAAGATCGAATTTATTAACCCATCAACTAGAAGGAAGACATCTAAGTTCAGACTAGTAAAATATTGTATATTCCTTAAATTAGGTGGTTCCTAAATGCCTTTATCGTTTTTGGTGAAACAAAATAAATAAACACCAAAAAGGAACCAAAGAAAATTCTGATGGCATATCTCGCAGGGTCGTGATCAACTTCTTTTGAGCTAGTCTTTGGGGTTGACATGGTTGTTGCCAGTGGTGCGGCTTCTATTACTGCATATGCCAAATCCATTATAAACGAAGGAGTATAGCCAAGGGCGGCACTCGGCCCCAATTGTCAATGCCCTGGGTTTATACCATGAGTTTATAGCCATTGACTTAATATAGCCTTCATGTAGTTTATAATAGAAACATGCATCCTTCCTGTAAGATTGAATATTAGTTGTAAAAATGAGAAGCAAAAGAAAAAAACATTCCTTAATATGGCTAGAGAGGAGAGGAGAGGATTGACGAGAGCGATTTTGTAAAAGCTCAGTAAATATCATATCATCTTCCCTTGATTTCTAGATTCATTTTCAAGCATTTAGACCGAGAATGTTGAATATAGTGTACTTATTAAAATTATTTATTTCACAATTCAATATATCCTTTTTAGTCATTTTATATTAGGGTAAATTAGTAATTCAATAAATACTTTGGTAATAGGGTGTACTTAGTTAATTTTAGAGTTCGTTAGCAGCACTCATATTTTTTGGTCAAGAGCGCTACAAGATTTTAACTATAAATGAAGGGCAACTATAATAAAACTCTATTATTTAAATGACTTATTTCTCTGAATTGCTAGAATTTCATCTTCACCACGTCTGTTTTAGCTTTAATGGTAATTATATTGTTTATTATTTATCAAGGCCAATATTTATTTGTCAAATTCAGAATTTTCACTTGTTTGTGCATGGCACACTATACATATTGTATCATATTCCGCATGTCTAAACGTGCAACATAGGAGTCAAAGCTCTCAGGAGTCTAAAAATGACCCCAATACAAAGCCATATATCCCAAGCTTACTGTCCCTTCTCAATGGCACCATGACATCCTAGGGAACTCTTGTCCTAGAAGATTCCTTTTTTAACCCTTTTTGTTTCGCATTTAAAAAAATTAAAATTAAAATGGCACCATGGCACCAAATGGATGAACGCATGGCCATGGCCAAGCCTAAATGCTCACATAATCTTAACAATGCATCTGGGCAAAAGGTATCCATGATACAGATCCCATAGCATAGCAGCACCGTTCTAATGTTGTGGGCTTGAAACTTAAAAGGCAGTGAGTCAATATTCTTCTTATTATTGTCACATCTTGACATGCGTCTAGACCTACTGGACAAAATAGGAAACCCTACATTTCTCATATGTAGACCTCAGAAGCATCTAAATACATAGGGAAATGCAGTACCAGTTCCCCCCAGCAAACTAAGAACTACGGTTGATGTGTCCTGTATGTGGAAAGCAATTCCACAGTGGAAACAAATCACCATTGCCTTCAAACAAAAACTGTTAAACCAACAAGGGTTTGGTATTCCGTTTACATGCATTCCGTTTCCAACGGCACAATGATTTCCAAGCATGAGAGATGAAGGCATGTGTCTGTAATGGCTTCATTTGGTTCACACAGAACATTCCAGGAAGTTTGGAAGCCAGGAGGACCTGTCATCCTTGTTTCTTAAATACTAGGACATCCCAAAGATGATCAAAACCGTACGCGTTTCACATCGGACGTTGGAACACTTACATCATTCCCATTACCCTTGACTGACGCAGATGTTTGCCCTCGGACCTGCAGAATCAATCAAGCCAATTACCTCTTTGTTGTTAACTTCTGTTCTCAAGCTTTTAACCGTAAACAGTTATCAAAGTCCACTTCACCAGACTAAAAGAATATAGAAGAAAACAGAACAAAAGAAACCATTTCTTCGAGAAGATTACAAGTATTATTAGTTGAGAAAACATGTGACAGAGATAATAATTGCATTCTAATGGTGTGTTTGACTGAGATTTCAAAAACTATTTTAAATGCAGTGTTCAAACTATTCAATTGGAAGTTTCCAGTTGTTTAATAGTTGTATGATTTCTGAATTGAAGAGTGAAAACATATTTTGATATTTTCGGTTTGTTTTCACGAAATTAAACAGAGAAAACTGTTTTTGAATGTAGAACAAAACATGCCCTTAGGAATTCAAGCAAGGTGAACTTCGATGATTGGCATTCCTTTTTTATTGATCACATGCTTCTTATTTTTATATTTCCATGGATGGGAGGTCAGAGGTGATGACTTCAACACTTGACCTTGATTTATTACTTACATGTGTCAAAAAGTGGAAAAAGATGCAATTGTGCACATGAGAACATGTTTTTTTTTTCTTTCTCTAATTGCCTAAGTCACCTATGGGAATCTGTTCTCAGTATGCCCTCAACTATGTATCTTTTTTATTCACTTGGATGTTGAACATTTAAGGGACACAAACTTACAGTTTCATCTGGAACAACAGCATATCTCTCTGATGGTGACACCCAAGTTTTCCCTGTTCAAAGGAAGCAGAAGAATGAATGCAAAGATCAGACAGTATCAATAACAGGTTTTTCACATCATACGTACATAGGAGAATTTTCAAGTGAGGATGACGTAGGCATGCAATGAAGGGAGGACAGTACCTGTTGCTGGATCAACTTTTGAAGATTCTATCTGTAGCCTGGTAGATCCATCAACACTCAAAGACTCTATAATTGTTGGAACATTCCTTCAGTCCAAAATATGTATCATCAGTTTTGAGACTTCAAAAATGAAAGTTGACATAAGAGATAATGCCAAAGATGAAAGTTGACATGCAAAATTGCCTAATTCAACCTGGATGAACCTCCCATGGTACACCCAGTTATTCATAGACTGACGGGTGCAAGACATGACTACAGGAAAGAGCAATTTTAATGTAGAGCAAGAACCCCAAAGTACGCAAGCTATGCATCGTTGGATTGATATTGGTCTCCATGTTTATTTTGATCTATCTAAGAAAGGATACAAAAATGCATAACAATTACCAGAATCAGATGGCAACAAGCACTAGCCGAGACTAATACTACAATACAGACTGATCCTAGATTCTGCCTGGAATAAGCAATCAAGCATTGAAGGATTATCGAATGAGTAACTTTAAGTGTTAGATTTCAGAGAGACAGACCAGTGGCCCACTATTCATGAGTTAACAACTTGAACACTTCTCCATATGTCTGTTATTTCCATAACTACCCTATTCATACACAGAATTGATATTTGTTGAGGATAGGTTTTAGATGAGAATAAGAGAATCAATGTATTATCACCCAAATGAAAAGAGTACACTGGTTAAATAGAATTCCAACATATAAACTCCCCAAGCAATCAGCTCTATAAATCAACCTTTAAAAAGCTAACAGCCTTCAATTAAGCTAAGAGCCTAGTAATCAGCCTACATTAAGGACAATATCACAAATCTGAAGCCTGTCAACAAGTAGTTCTACATTTTGCCACTCCCTATCGTATCACAACTCTTCTGAGTGCATTGTTGATTTGATTTAATGATAATGATAATCTTACAAGTCCTAAAGAAAAAAAAGTTTCATCATTTGACTCTCCTATATAAATTTCAAGAATCTTAAGGTTTTTATACGCTTCTTGTCATTGACAACATAGTATCCCTGACCTGAAGTTGACCAACAGTTTTGCTTAAGCATCTGTATTTCATGATTTAAAAACCAATTTTTGGATGCTGTATGTGGGGATTCAGGAACCTACAAGTTATCCCAACATCTGCAAAACTCACAGACCTGGAACATCTTATGCAAGTATCAGAGAAAAATACCACAATGGCCATCACAGTTGTTAAGTTTGTTGCTTTACTACTGTTCCCAAAAGCTTACACTAGTAGGATGTGGATTGAAAATTATCTTTCATCCTAACATGTATGAAACAATACATGGTGCAGAAACATTCAGATGTCAAGATGTAAATTACCGGTCAATTGATTCTCCATGCCCAAGCTGTCCATTTGTACCCCTCCCCCAGGAGAACACATTTTGTCTTTCAGTAACAGCAAGCGTGTGTCTCCATCCACATGTTATTTGAACTACTTTCTGCAAATCCAAAATGCTTACCATTAGACATCAAAAAATTATCAGGAAAGGATTCAAAAGAAGAAAATCTCCACAGAACTGTATATCAATATCATGGGCTATCTTAATTAATTTGGGGAGATAGAGTAGTAATAAGAATGTGCCTGGTCATGAGGAAATTTAACTTGCACAGGAGAACAGTGATCAATATTGTCCCCAACTCCAACCTGTCCAAACTGTACACAAAATGGAAAAAGGTAAATAACTAATGAGAAGGGAAATGAGGAACAAGACTTGCTAAAGAAGATGAAGTGAAAAAGAAAATAAAAGGTAGGCACAAGTTTTCCAGTGACCTACATAAGAAAGTAAAAAAGACATCTACCAAGTCATAGGAATTTGAGTTTATGTTTGGAAAGAGAAATTGTGCAATAAGACGTATTTCAAGGCCCAGGTTCATCTAAGAAACAATTATTTATGAACCAGGAAAAATTAGTTAAAGGTAGAAATTAAAGGAACAAAGACAAGCAACCTTATTCCAACCCCAGCCATACAGTTTTCCATCAGAAGTGAGTGCCATAGTATGCCTCCAACCGCCAGCTGTCTGGTAAGATTCAAGGCAAGAAGCGATTAACACAAAGGACTACAAAGAAACAGTTGCATCCATCATATCTAAGTCAATATCTATCCAACACCAGTTACTCTAATAAATGCTTCATATGTTAATTGAATGTAATCTGCTGCATAATCTAGCAGACGAAAAAAAATATTTCCTGAAATAAGTTCAATGAAATTAATCAGTCAGAATTATGTACAAGTGCATGCATACACACACACACACACACACACACACAGAGTCTACTGCTTTCGCCTTTGTTTTTACTTTAGTTAGCAAGGAGAAGAATGATGGGCAACCAATGGTTGCAGAACCAATACATTGTGACCCTCGTCCCCCGCAGATACCCCAGGGATATACAGTTGGAGATGCATGGGTTCGGCACTGTCGTGGAGCAGTCTGGTCCCCACACATCCTAGAAGAAGGGGATACTGTCGGATGGGGAGCTTATTTGGTTGTATCAATAATTAACTCTGACATTTGGTTGTTCCAGTTTAGCAGTTAATGTTAACCAAAAACCTGAAGGAGTTTGGTTCGCAGGAAGGAATTTATGGGCAATCAATTCCAATGTTTTTTTTTCCTCACGAAATCAATTATCTTTAACGAAGATGCCAGCTTCGGCTGGCAAAGTCTCTTGTTTTGGTACAAGGACATGGAAGTGAATCCCATCAAGGTTCAAGAGTTTCACAATGGGGAACAGTTATACCTCCTGCCCTGCAGCACAGGACAGTTTTTTACTAATCACCTCTTTACTAGTTATCTATTTCTGGAGAAACTACGATACTGAGGTAATGTCTTACTTTACAGCAGCATCCTTCAGATTTAACTTTCAACCACCTAAGTCTTGCTGTCTAAACCATTTCATTAGCCTCCATTCTATATTTGTTCATTTAGCTACCAGTGTGATCCTATAACATTGTTGCTTATTATGATATGTGCATCTTTCAACTACAACAAAATTTTGTTTTTGGAATGATAACAGAGTCAACATATATAATAAAATTATATCCTGCTTTCTAATGAGTTGTCCCAGGCATACGATAACACTGAATGTGCACGTCGCACAATCAGTAATTGGGCAAAGATGTCAACTAAATGACTAGATGCGCTTTGGAAAAACTGATACATGTCCATGCCAACCAAGTGTCTGAAAAAAGTATACATACGTCTGAGTATTCTATTCAATACTTCAAATGAACGTGCACACGACAATATGACTCATCTGAAATGATTCAAAACCAGAATTCATCTCTGACCACATTTTTCCATCAGTTTTTTCTTTTCCTTATAAAGTCTCATGGGATAGCTTTTAATACTAGTTAGTTTGTTAGATTGACTATTAGAAAATCAATGGACACCAAAAGCTTAAGCAGTTAGGAAATGGGCCAACAACCTATAGCAAGTTAACATCCCCCCCTCACTTACAGTAACATCCGCACAGAGAGAGAGAGAGAGAGAGAGAGAGAGAGAGAGAGAGAGAGAGAGACACACACACACACACACACACACAGAGCAACAAATAGTTGAGAAATGGAGATGATAAATGTCAAGCTCTGATACCATACTAGACAACCACAGACCCCAAAAAGGAATGAGAATACAATGCAATACCAATATAACAAATAACAAGGCAGGAAACTAGTACCAAGGTTGCTGAAATCTTAAAATAAATCAAGAAATGATTGCATTAGATTGTAAAAGCTAAGAGATCACCTCACAAATATAGTTGTTACTCAAGGCTTCTAGCTTGTGAGGAACAAGGTGATCCTCACAATCCCCATGTCCAAGTTGACCATATTTGCTCCACCCATATGTGTATAATCGACCCAACGAGGAAACAGATATTGTGTGCCGCCATCCACACGCAACCATAACCATCTTCTCATTCTGTATTTTTTAAAAGTATCAAGTTCATCTTTTATGCAACCAAGAAAGCAAAGGCAGTAGAGGGATTTGAACCGAGTAGAATGTAGAATTTGAAAGATAACAGAATCTTTACGAAGAGCAGCTCATAATAAATCTATCGTCAAGAACACCTAGGATTTGATGAGAGGAGTTTTTAATCGGTAACATAACGAGTTTAGAAGAAAAAAATTGAAAAGAAAAGCCTCCAACTACAACCTGTGAGGATACAAAATAAAATCATCACATGGAAACTTCATTAAGTGAGTCATAGAGCGGGGTAAACTGGAATTGCCAGGGCCTGCTAGGTTAGTTTTTTTTGTTTTTTGTTTTTATTATTATTTGAAGATAGAGAAGGAAAATGGGAGAATAGAGAGAATAGAGATTATGGATGTGAATGAGAGAGGAGAAAATGTATACAGAACAATGCATTAAACAAAACCGAAGAGGAAAAAATAAAAACAATTTTACATAGTTTTCTTTTAGTTTTAGTTCTATGTATCTCATCTCATTTCTTATTCATATCTCTCAAATATGAATGCTTTTTAGGGGAGCTTTTACATTGTCCTATGGCACATTGGCTTCATTAACTTTATGTAAATTCCGTTTGTACCTTATTTTATGTTAATATCATTTTGTTTCTTAGTCATCCCTATACTTAATAGCATAGACGCTGGCTTAAAATCAAATAAAGTAAACAAAACCAGATCTTAGACATACATTAACCATAGAAACCTTCTCCGGAACCAAGCGATCGTTCCTGTCACCTAGGCCCAAGTTTCCATATCGGCCCCAACCCCATCCATAGAGTGATCCATCTTCTGTGACAGCTGCAGTATGTTCAGCACCAGCAGCAACCATTTTGACAGATATTCCCTGCAACAAAATACAAGAAAATCATTGCATAAACCATTTCAAGGAAATATAAATGTTTATTAGAAATAACATCAAGGTTGAATTATAAGAAATTGACAGTAAAGACATCCATCAAGGCTCCTAACCACTAAAGATTGATTACAAAGAAAGGAATGTCACTAAGGTTCTTTAACAATGATGCACATAAGAATGCCAAAAATCTAACTCATAGCCATAAGAAATCTACTTCTCCACCTTGTTTAAAATGTTTTGGTTGTTTCTTTCCATTAAAATTGTTCAAAAATTAGCCTAACTGCACACTCCAAAGAGTATTTGTCTTCTTAAAAATCCCAACACCCATATCATCCACAACCTTCAAAGAATACCAACTTATTGGCATAACTCACGCCATCCCAAACACATTAAGTAACCTGACCCAAAGTTCCACAGCGTGTGATCAAAAGTAAATCAATTCATGGGAGCTTTATGTTGACAATTTGACCAATCCAAGAGGGATAGATGCAAAAACACTGATCATAACCCCAAACCGAAAAAAAATTAGAATATGAAACCCAACTAGAATTTTAGGCTATTAACTGCCACACTATGAGGCACCGATTATGTGACAGAAAATGAATGACGAGTACGTGACAAAAGGTGAGAAAATGGAAGCCAATCAATAGTTGGCAAAGAAATTAGTGGAAAAGTTGAACTTTCTGGACATCCAATAGATCCCTAGAGAAGATAATGTCAAAGCAGATGGCCAGGCATCTTCAGTGTCAAAGGATTGGCAAAACTTGATCAGGATCATTCCAATAGAACTGTTACATTTGAATGGATTCAGTTATTCGATATCTTAAGAAAGGAATGGAGCCAAACTAACAAATCAAGGCAAGAAAATTAAGAACAGCGCACTACCATTATGAATCACCAACTCTGAGACACACAGCAACAGAAAAAGAAAAACAAAATAGAAAAACCAATCATAACTTGGCGATCCAAAGCATTGCACAACAACCCTAGTTCCACTAGAACGGTTTACCCAAGCCAATAGAACAAGGAGTCCTATAACATACATAGCTAGGACTCAAATTACAAAACAGGAAACTTAATCCCACAGGGCCGACCGGCCAGTTTGTACAGAGTGCCACAAGCTTCACAAACACATCTGCCCATCCGGTCATCCCATTGCCACCGACCAGTCCCCGGATATTCTCCATGCATTTGAAAACTAATTTGAGCCACTATTTCAACAAAGGTAGGCAATAATTTAGGCAATTAGTAATTTTTTACCCACAAGACAAATGGGATTTGTTGTTCATTAGCTTGTGAAATATTTATTGTAATATGCTTAATTTGCTCAAAAGAACATCAACATTAAGAAGAACCAATCTCTACTCCCTTTTCTGGCTGATTCGGCTCAATTGGTGCTCTCTATGCTTTCCCAATTTCTTTGGAGGGATAAGGTTTGGTATGGTACGCTGACAATGTAGTCTTTGGATATTCAACACTTTGGTTACTGAAATCTCTCTGACCTGATGCCTCTAAAGCTTTTACGGGTTCCAATATCTATCCTCATAGAACTGAATGATTACCCATATGGCTGCATAATGTATATCATTCAAGGTCCCCCTCCCCCAGCATGAAATATAAGACAATATCTAGGGACTCCATGATATAGACTGAAGAACTCAAGCTTTAATTATTACTAAACTACACATAGGCAGGGATCACCAATGTCTCAGGTAAAGAATAAAAAAAAGAACAAAAGAAATGACCTACAATACCTGAAACGCTTGAATCTTCTGTGGCACAAGAGAGTCTTCTGTGGTGCCAAGACCAAGTTGACCATTTTGATTCCGCCCCCAACTTGAACAACCAAAAACAAATCATTAGATTAGTATTTGTATAACCCTTGGATGACTTTTACCCAGCTCAAAGGAGTGGGAAAGACAAGGGCAACGGGACAAAGGAGAATATTGATAGCAAAACATGTGGCCACTTTGGTGTTGAGTTGATAGTTCAACGACATTGTAACTTAAAACTCAAGTTACAATTCAAACAATAGAATTGTGTGTGGTGTGTGTGTGTGTGTGTGTGTGTGTGTGTGTGTGTGAGAGAGAGAGAGAGAGAGAGAGAGAGAGAGAGAGAGAGAGAGAGTTTACAAAACACAACTAACCTTTGCACCTCACCTTCCATCGTCACTGCCAAACAGTGGCTGTCCCCACAAGCAATTTGCCTTATCCTCAGACCATATAATGCCTTTATTGGCTGAGGTGTAAACAAATCACTGGAATTACCATGACCCAACCTCCCGAAGTCACCCCTGGAAAATAACAAAACACTAGATACTTATTAAGCTGCAAGAAAGCAAGAAAAGAACTGAACAATAATAATTCACTTAACAGGGTGATGCCCTCATTACAAATGCATCCAGTCAGCATAAATAACAATAAAACTTTTGTACACAACTGACGCCTCACTCTGCTCCATAAGATTTATTCAGCCTTAATACTATATGTTCTTATATTTAAATTAATCATGAAGAAAGTGATTCAAATGAGTAGTTGAGAAATATGATAAGAATAAAAGAAAATGAAATCAAACAGAAATGGGAGTATGAGCACTGGCGCCTATGAAATGTTGTGGTTAATGGTGTTTGAATTAATAAAAAACAAAAAAATTTAAAAATAGTAATAACAGTTGTATTTCTCACAAGACACTCTATGACCAAGTTTTGAAAACGGACAAGCATAAAAAGAAAACATTAAAAAAAAAAGTTGGAAGAAGAGAACAAACCATCCCCAACTATACGCTTGTGTACGTGAGTCAGAATAAGCAATTGTATGATCAGCTCCACAAGTAACAGAGACTATTTCATGGCCATCCAATGCACTCAAATGTGTAGGTAAAAGTCGATCTTCAGCGTCACCATGGCCTAACTGCCCATCCTCTCCTCGTCCCCAGGAGCAAAAAACATTTTCAGCTGCGCATTACAAACAGAATAAGTATTGTCCCCACTCCCATTCAATGTGTGCCTATATTAGATTTGCACGATGACCTCAACGATATTTCCAAATAAAAGGAACAACAGCAATAGCTAGCAAAGTAGCAACAAAGTATATCTGAAGTAATCAACCTAAAAGAGTTAAGGCCGTTACAGAATAAAGTTAAGATTTCCTAAGAAGCAGATGTTGGCATATATGCCTATGAGAAAATGGATGGTGTCTACCCCCATTGCAGGTCTGGGAGGGTCAGATCAATGCAACCTTGGTCCTGCTTCACAGCTGAGACCACCAAGTTGAATGTAGCAAAGGTATTTGCTTGTTTCTTTGTTTTTTTCTTTTGGGTAACAAACAACTTTAAGTTTGCACAAGGCTTACCCATATTAGCATATATTCATATAAGGAAGCAAAATTTCCAAAGATCAAGTCGAACCGGGGGTTTAAAAGAATGGAACAAACATGTTTTTGTTAACTTGCTTCATAAGAAACTACATAGCTCTACTTTTTTTTTAAAATTTCTCCAAAAAGAAAACAGAGAAATGGCAAACACTTGAATACGTTAGATGAAGTCATTGGTGGTGGAGGAGACTTATCAAACACAGAGAGAGTAGCGATTGTGAATCGAATCATGGGTGTTTTACTATTTTCCCAGCAGCCAAACAAAGAATAAGGAAAAGTGTAAAAGGGCAAGTAGAAAGAAAATAAATAAATAAAGGAAAATGAGAAATGAGGAGGAGATAGGAAGCTTAGCTTACAAAGAAGAGCAACAGAGTGACTGGCACCAGCGGAGATGAGAAGGACACGGCGGATTGGAGCACCACTGACTTCACTGGCTCCCTCTTCTGCCATTTTCTCTCAATATCTCTCCACAGTTCAAAATTCCCACAAAAAAAAATTGATAGAGATAGAAAAGGAGTCCAAAAGTCTCCTCCAACTCCAACTGGGGAGGACTTAAGAAGAGAGAGAGAGAGAAAAAAAAAAAAAAAAAGGGTTAGGAATTTGCTTGCGCAGAAGAAAGAAAGAAAAAAAAAGAGTAATAAATTTGGACAAGTGAGTGAAATGGGAGGGACGATTGTGGGTCCCGGTTTCTATTTATAGTGACAGGGATTGGACATGTGCTCTTCTTCCTTGTTACAGGAAGGCTTACAGTTTCAGTGAGTTACTTACTGATGGCAGAGACTTGGAGAAATAGAAGAAACTGAATTTTTGTGAAAGGGAAATAATGAGGAACTGAAACAACGGCATTCATTGCGGACGGCCCTACACACCCCCCTGCATTCTCAACCGCACACCTGTTTTTCTATCTGATTTAAATTTTTAATAGGAACTCAACTGCCATACTTCTCTTCCTCTTTTGAAAAGTTTATGTCTACGTACAGTTAAAAGCAACTTTAATGGTTGTATGTAAATTTTGGGGGGAAAAGTCACATTACATGAGAATTAGCCTCTTCCCATGCGAGGTGGATTTTTATAATCACTTTAAAAAAAATTTATTATTATTATTTTTTAATTATATTTTTCTAGATGGCAGTCTTAAAAGTTTTTTTTTTATCACCTGTATTTTTTTAGATGCCCATTTCAACAGTTTATGCACAATAAAAAAAAAATACAATTGAAAAAATAAATAAATAAAAACTTTTAAAGTCATGCAGTGCTCGTGATTATAAAAAGCCTCTCTTGCACGCCGAAAACTCGTGCGAAGAGGCTAGTCTAATCAATTTTAGGAATTAAGGCGATTAACTTGTGTTATTGCTTTATCGTTGAACAATTGATGAAAACAAAAGTAAATTTGAAACTGGACACGGCGAAAGTGACATTTATACTATCCAAAGCAAATCCAACATTAATTGAAAAATGTCATATAATTTAAGTTAAACAATATTTTCAATCTATACAACATTGTAGCTTTAGATTATGTACATAAATATATACATATTTACATATGCACATATAAAGAATATATGCAACAATGAAGACCACTTGCGCCACATATTTGTTTGTAATAGATCTTTCACTTTTTCATTGTGGGTATTAGGAAAGGTATTTTCTCATTAAAATTATGATTTTTCAATTACCATTATTAGTTCAAATGAAGTCGGACTTCTTTATACACCACATTTCGAGTGACCACGCCTTATTGACTAATTGATTTTTTTTATTTTTTTTAGTCTCTATGATAATTGTATTCAGCAAACTACTTTTTATTCCACTCAGAATTTTTTTAATCATGGTCATCTTATAGTTTATTTTATCAATATATATATATAAAGTAAAAGGCAGAGAATTGTGAAACATTCAAAATACCAGAAAATACATTGGTTAATTCAAACATCAAGAATTGAAATTATTAATTAAATGAGGATAATATTGGTTAATTCACATTTTTCATATTAAAAAAATTAAAATTAAAAACAAAATCAAATAATAGATCATACTTTTAGAGTGCTGCTAAACAAACTCTAAAATTAACTGAGCACACCTCTTGATCTAAGTACATCCAAATATTTTAACTCAAATGTAAAATTAACTAAGTACACCATATTTAACTACCAAAAATACTCATGGTACACCCTAATACACTATCACACAATACCTTTTTAAACAAATACTAACCATTAAATTAATCTAATGAATTCTAATAAGTCCACGACACCATAATTGTATCAACCTAAAACTCACTAACCCTTTGCACCTTCTTAGCCAACACTTATGAAATATAAAAAAATAAAAAAAATGTTCCAGCAATAACTACCTCCTTCCCGACCCAGCCTCCTCACTGCCAGGGGCGGATCTATTAAGGTGCAAGGAGGTGCAGCTGCACCTCCCTTCGCCGGAAAAACCATTGTAAGTGCTTCAAATTGCTCCTTTGCTCAACTGGTGTACAGATTACCTTATTTCCATTTTCAACATTTAAGTAAATGTCTTTGTCTTTTTACTTTTATTTATTTTTATATTACTCCATTTACTTAAGTTTACAATGTAAATAAGGAAGTACCCCCCATTTGGATTCAAATAAAAATATTAGAAAATCAAATTCCCACTAAATAAAAATATGAAAATTCGGTTTTAGTGCAAAATATGATTTTGGCTAAAAATGATGGCTCATTAAGTCAATATATACTTCATACTAAAATCCCGTAAAATCAAGTTTTCTTATTTGATGTATAAGGAATAAAAGCCGCCAAAAATTATTTTGAGAAAATGATTATTCCGAAAAACCATTTTCATACTTAGTCAATATTGCACCTCCGCTAAAAAATTTCTAGGTCCGCCAGTGCTCACTGCCATCCATGGCTGACGCCACTCACTCTCTCCACTATTAGCCATGGTCCCTGCCCTTAACACTCTTTTCTTCTCTCCACTATTAGCCATGGTCCTCCTCACTGCCATCCATAACTACCCATGTTATCTTTTCTTAATTCTAAAAATAAAATAAAAAATAAAAAATAAAACCAATTGGCACATGCGTGAGGGGCTAGTTTTATTTGAATTTATCTTTTTTTTTTAGTCTTATTGTTTCACTTGCTCTCTTGCGTAGCAGCTACCTCCATAGTTTTCTTTTGCATATGGTTTAATTAAGCCTATGTTCAATTGCAAATAAAAAATTACTTAAAATAAGATAAAATATGCAAGAGATGGATGTGAGTTAAACACAATATTGAAAAGAAAGATATGAGAACACCAATGCATTAGCATATTACTGATGGTACAAAAAGTTTAGACATCAAAGAAATTCCTATTTCATTTCTCTCGAATTTAATAACACAATATTAAAGGAAAAAATTTCACACTCCAATGATCTGGTCTTAGGGTAACATGTAATCTACCCAATCCAACCCCATTACTTGCATCTCCAACTCGAGAAAGCATACTCTGAAAAGTTGAAACAAATAAAATAGAGACCATTAGCACCCAATACGCATTACAAAAACAATTTACAACTTAAAGTTGTGTTTAGAAATGTTCAAGATCACAATTCAAAGACCGGAGAAAATGATCCTATGATCTCAAGATCTTCTTTCAAATCCACCATGTCCAAGCCTGGTTCTAAACTCAAGTTCCAATGGCAAATTGCGCTAAACAAATACAAATATGAAGAATAATGTCTGAAATTTTGATGCAACTAATATTCTTGAAGTGCATAACCAAGGCATGTTGAAGCAAAAACTTCCTTTGCATAAAAAGGAGAAAATTAGACAACATAGAAAGAGAACCCACTTAACTGTACCCATGAGTCGAATGATCTTGTTTGAAGAGAAGATTCACTGCTAAAAAAATCATTCAATCACAGCATAAAAATAAAAAAATAAAAAAAAAGATGAAGCAAAATTCTACATACGCATATATTTATCTTTCAACTATCTCTATTAAAATATGGCTTAATTATGTACATGCCCCCTGTGCTTTTAAGTTTTTCTCAGATTACCACCTGTGGTGGAAAACGTCTCAAAGTACCCCCCAACGTATAAATAACCGTCTCAATTTACCCCATCCGTCAAATTTTTTGACGGTCCGTTACGAACAGTGGGCCCCACTTCGTTTTAACCTTTAAGCTGTTCGAATAAGGGTTTATCAGTTTGTAACAAAGGGGAAATTGGGTTTAGGGTTCATTGGAGAAGAGGGTTGTTGTCAAAATCTGAGGGTTCCTTCGATTTTGGGAGAAATTGGAGAAGAAATCATTCGTTGGCTTTAGACTTTAAGGCTAGAAGGTGCGAAGATGGTGGTGCTTAGAGAATCTGGAGGTTGTCAACCCATATGTAAGTGGACCCATTGTTACTCGATTTTCTTGATTTTGGCATGTGCATTGAACTGTTGTTAGGATTTTGTTTTTGTTTTTTGTATACTTTTTGACTCTGCTGGTTCTGGTGTGATCATTGTGTGGTCCTTGCATGTTCCTAGTGTGATGTGTTGCCGGAAATTTTTTTGTTCTTTCATATATTTTTTTATTCTGTGCTGGCCCCAATATACCTTATGTGGTCCTTGGGTGTTCCTTGTATTATCCTTTGTGTGGTCCTTCTTTTCTCTTTGTGTGTTTTTTTCCATTTGTTAAGTGAATGTTCCTGTTACGCAGATAAAGATGCTGATGAGGTTGTCACATTTAAGTTTTTCCATGGAGGTAAACTAATGAAAAATAGAAAGGACAGTCAGTGGTCTTATTTAGGTGGTGAAGTCAGTTGGTTTGATTACTGTGAGGTTGACTATATGTCCATGTTAGAGCTATTTGGAATGGCTAAAGATTTGGGATATGACGATGGGTATGATGTGAGTTTTTATGGTGAAGAGTTTGGAACTAGCAGACTCATTCAAATAATATCTGATAGTACACTTTTAGCTTGTATGAGCATGGTACCTAAAAGCAATAGCAGGGTCGTAGTTTTGTACTTGAAGGTAGTGAGCTTAACTTCAAGCCAAGTGGGGAATGATAGCAGTGATAAAGAATATTCTTGTTCTGAGAATGATGATAGCAGTGATCCAGACTTTGAAGACAGTGACTATGCACAGAGTGATGAAGAGATTGAATTATTGAAGAATGATGATAAGTGGTTTGAAGGTTATGTGGATCATAGTATTTTTGACAATGATCCTAATGCAGAGCAAAATGATGAGTCAGACAATGGAGAAGAGTCACCTACACTTACCTGCCCAAATAGTTCACAAAGTGAAGATGATGCAGTGGGTGAAGTAAGAAGGAAGAAGAATAGGATGCCAAAAGGTGAAGATTTCAGACCTGAAATTGATATGGGAAGCCCAAGTTTCAAAATAGGTTTAAGGTTTGCAACTGCCGAGTTGTTTAGAAAAGCTGTGAGGATATACTCCATTAATTGTGGAAGGGAGTTGATTTTTATGAATAATGACCGTAACAAAATAAGAGCAGTATGTGAAGAGGGCTGTCCTTTTGTTATCCATGCTTCAAGTGTTAGTGGTAGCACTTACCTGCAGGTGAAAACCTTTAATCCTACACATGTTTGTAGCAAAGGGACTAAAAATATACATGCTACTGCTGGCTGGTTGGCTGAAAGATATTCTGGGCAGTTAAGGCTCAATCCAAATTGGACTGCTTCTTCTTTTGTAGAGCAAGTTCACCAAGACTATGGTTACAGACCATCTAGAGCAACTGTGTACAGAGCAAGAGCCATGGCAGTTGACATTGTAGAGGGGTCTTACAGCAAACAATATGAAGTATTGTGGGAATATTGTCATGAGTTAAGAACCAGGAATGTGGGAAGTACAGTTATCATTAAATCTGAAATGGAAGGTGATAGGCCACGGTTTCAAAGAATTTACATCTGTCTTGCAGCCTGCAAGAAGGGGTTTTTAGATGGTTGTAGGCCTGTGGTTTGCTTGGATGGGTGTCATGTCAAAGGGCCTCACCCTGGGCAAGTGCTTTCTGCAATGGGAGTTGATGCAAACAACGGAATGTTTCCACTTGCCTATGCATATGTAGAGATTGAGAGCAATTCAACATGGCTGTGGTTTTTAGAATTATTGAGTGGTGATCTCAATATTACGAATAGCCATGGTTATGTATTTATGACTGACAAACAAAAAGGGTTAATAGATGCTGTGGATGCTCTATTCCCTCAGGCAGAGCATAGACATTGTTTGAAACATCTAATGGGAATTTCTATTTGGAACATAGAGGTCTTGCCTTGAAACATCAAATGGAAGCAATTGCTAGAGCCACAACAATGCCATGGTTTCATGCAGAGATGACAAAGATGTTGTAGTTGTCTAAACCTGCACATGATTGGCTCATGGAGAAAGATCCTAGGCATTGGAGTAGGGCATATTTCAAGAGTGATTCCAAGTGTGACATGCTTATGAACAATCTATGTGAGGCATTCAACCGTAGCATAATGGATGCCCGAGACAAGCCTATTCTGACTATGCTAGAAAGAATTCGGTTGTATATAATGTTGTTGATGGCGGGAAGAAGGGTTCTCTGTGAGAAATGGCATGGACAAGTTGGGCCAAGAATTAGAAAGATATTAGAGAAAAACAAAGGAAAAGCTCAGTGGTGCATTCCTAAGGCTGCTGGACAGAATCAGTTTGAAGTAATGCACCATAGTGGCCGCACCTTTGCTGTTGATTTGAATGGCCACTCTTGTTCATGCCATGCTTGGGATTTGAATGGAATACCATGTTTGCATGCATGTGCTGCAATAAGTTGGTTTCATGGGAATCCAGAGGACTTTTGTGATGCAGTGTACAAGAAAGAGGCTTATTTGAGAGCCTATGAACCAATGATTATGCCTATGACTAGCCAAGATCAGTGGATGAAGGTTAATTTACCTCCATTACTCCCTCCGAAATACCACAAGCAGCCTGGTAGGCCTAAGAAGACAAGAAAACAAGCTGTTGAAGAACCTAAACTTCCTTCTAATCCATATAAGCTTCCTAGGTATGACATCCCTTTAAAGTGTGGCAATTGCGGTGGAGAAGGGCGTAATCGAAGTAGTTGTAAGGTATGTGGTTTTTAGAATTATTGCTTTACATTTAAATGTATTTGATTTGGTTTCTGACTTGATGACTTTGGTTATTAGGAACCTAGAAATCCCAACATAAAGCCTACTAGGAAGAGGAACATTGCCAAGGACAAACTTGCAGTAAGTGCCACAGTTTCAACTATGTTTTCACTCATCAAAATTTTATATCATGGAAACTTCTAATTATTATTTGTTTTAGGTAAGAAGGAGAGATGGTGGAGACCAAAGTGGCGGACAACAGAATATGCAATTAAGGCAAAGGAAACACTCAAGCACTTCCCAAGGGCCTTCTCAATCCCAGGCATCTCAAGTAGCTGCTGCTTCTCTATCCCAACCATCTGAAGCAGCTGATGCTTTTCAATCCCAGCCATCTCAAACACCTGAACCTGCCAAATTATCTCGAGTACAACAACGTCGGAAGAGGATGAAAGATCAACAGAGGAGCCATTTTGTCAAAGATCCTTTTTTTCATCCTTGAATGTTGTGGAAGACTTTAATGGTTGTTGGTTGTTATGTTTGGAACCTGTTATGGTTGGACCTGTTTTGGAACCTAAGTATTTGATGTATGTTATGGTTTGAATATTTTGATGTATGTTATGGTTGGAACCTATTATGGTTGGACCTGTTTTGGAACCTGAATATTTAATGTATGTTATGGTTGGAACCAATTTTGGAACCTATTTTGGTTTGTGCATATTTCCTAAGGTTGTTATGGTTGGAATCTGTTTTGGAACCTGTTTTGGTTTGTGCATATATTCATAAGACTGTTATGGTTGGAACCTGTTTTGGTTTGTGCATATATTCTGTTATGGTTGGAACCTGTTTTGGTTTGTGTTCTGTTTTGGAACCTGTTCTGTTTTGGTTTGTGCTTATAATGACAGGTGCTTTTGCTAGTTTTGGGCTTTGCCTCTTGCTTTCCAGATTCCAGTAAACTTTGGCATGTTACCAAAAGCTACATATCCACCATAAACTTTGGCAAAGAAGGCAGGTCCTGCTTTTTTAGGGAAAACTGAATTTTGGTTATCTTCTTCTAGATTCATCAAGAAATTACCATTCAATTTACCATTCATATCACAGATCAAACTTAACTAGCATTACATTACTTAACTAACTAGCATTACATTCATGTCACCATTTGTAACCTCTAAACAACTTACCATTCATGTCACCATTTGTAACCCCTAAACAAATTACATATTCAGTAAACTGAACTAGCATTACATTACATTACACCAAATGACATTACATTACACTGCCAAAGTGTCTTACATTAGATTCTCATTTGTTCTCAAATTAAATTTGCCCATTAAACTACTGCCAAAGTGCTTAACTACTGCCAAAATGCTTAACTACTGCCAAAATGCCTTACATTACATTAACATTAGGTATCAAATTACAATGCCCACTGAACTACTGCCAAAGTGCCTAATTCATCTTCATGGCAAACACCACCAACCAGGAAAGCAACATAGCAGCCCACAATATTTTTGACTTTGCTCGAATATTTGCATTTTCCTTCTCCACCCTATCAATCTTCCTCAGCAAACCAGGTATCAACGATTTTGAACGCTCACACATTTCTGCATCAAACCACTGAAAAAACCTACATCCTTTTTCTCCCCTTCCCTGTATCAACCAAGAACAATGACTGAAAATTTGGGTGGTAAAATGACTGAAAATTTCATCAATCACTGACAATTTCATCACTAACAACTCTATCAATTTGTGATGCCCAAAATAATGACTGAAAATTTTATCTTAAACATGCTTACCTTTGACTTTGGGCAGACTAGAAATCTTCGCCCTGGGTTTGAACTGGTCCAAGAAGTCTGCATCCGTGCTAACTTCCCACAATGACACCATTGGCCATGCCCTCCTTCTCCTTGCTTCTCTCCTGTTTCCATCATCCCAAATCTTCTACTCCACAATCTTCCAATTTCAAACTCCACCTCAGAGTTTTACAAACAATGATTTCTTCTCTAATTTCTCCCAAAATCGAAGGAACCCTCAGATTTTGACAACAACCCTCTTCTCCAATGAACCCTAAACCCAATTTCCCTTTGTTACAAACTGAGAAACCCTTATTCGAACAGCTTAAAGGTTAAAACGAAGTGGGGCCCACTGTTCGTAACGGACCGTCAAAAAATTTGACGGATGGGGTAAATTGAGACGGTTATTTATACGTTGGGGGGTACTTTGAGACATTTTCCACCACAGGTGGTAATCTGAGAAAAACTTAAAAGCACAGGGGGCATGTATATAATTAAGCCTTAAAATATTTCAATCTATGTCCTTGTTGAGGATGCACTCCACTCCACAATATCTCCATAAGGCTGGCTTTACACTTAATCTAAGATACAAAACTGTAAGATAATAAAAAAATTTCACGTAACCTAGAACTGAGATGAGGATGAAAGTAGTGAAGAAATTTCAGAAACTGAAACAGAGGAAATATCATTGGCCGACGGTGATAATCGGAGACTGAAGCAAACGCGCCGCAGAGATTGAACATGATGGAGCAAATGAGGAGGAGCAAAGTTGTCCAAGCCATGGCTGTATGCTACAATTGAGTCGCAGAGGACCAACCACCCTCTGTGCTCGCACGATTGAAACGCATTGCTTCACAAATAAACATGAAAGAAAATAGAAGTAACCGTAAGAAAAGATAACTGGATAACTTGTAAACCGCTCTTCAACTCCTAGCACAACACCACGACTTATTTTTTGTTTTGTTTTATTATTTAATTAGTGTTGTTTTACAATTTTACCCTGCTTTAATTAAAATTTAGTGCTTTTAATTTTCACTTTAGCAAGGAAATTTTTGAGGTTTTAGAAAATTTTACTTTTAAGCCTTCTCCCTGTATATATATAGACGTAAACGTGGTTTTTCCCTCCAATGGGAAGAGATGTAAATTATAAGATGGAAATTCAATTTTGTGTATTAATTAGTTTTTGTGTTAACTTTAAAAAATAAAATAACATTTGTGTGTTAGGTTTATTTTATTTCCAAACAAATTGATGTAAAAATTTTAAATTCGGAGAAGAAATGCCTTCATCTGATTTTTTAAATTAAAGTATCTTCATCTAAACCCTCTGATTGTTATCTCAGATTTCATCCATTTTTCTATATATATCAAAGCCATATTTACTATCACTCCATCTAAATATCTTTCTTTACCACTACACTACAATGAGCCAACAAAACTTGTTTGACTCTAATTCTAAAGATGAAATCAAGGAGGAGATGATCGTCAAATGAGAGATATCACAGAAAAAGAATGCGGAGAAGACAAGACACAGCGGTCCATAATCAAGAATGAGGATTGTAACAAGAGAACGAGAGGTTGGCCATCTTCGCCTTATGAGAGATTATTTTTGTGCTACTCCTGTGTATAATGCAGATAATTTCTGAATGAGATTTCGCATGAGGCCGTCGTTGTTCAACCGAATCCTATAACAAGTCTCCAACGCCAGTCCTTACTTCCAACAAAGAGGGATGCTGTTGGAAATCAAAGGCGGACCTTGCAAGACTCTTGAGAAAGGGAGGGAAATACGATCTTCTCGGGATGCTAGGAAGCTTGGACTGCATGCACTGGGAATGGAAGAATTGTCCAACTACGGACCATGGAGCTTATGTGGGCCATCATGGTCGTCCAACTATTATTCTTGAGGTCGTAGCCTTATTTGACACATTGATTTAACATTCTTATTTTGGTATGCCAGGTTCACACAATGATCTTAATGTGCTTTACTTGTCACCTCTTTTTGTATAGGTACTTAAGGGAGCAATTACTCCAAACCACTACACTAATGGGTCCTTGTCTATCATTAGATCTTTATTTGTTTGCTATCTGTTTTTCAATCACATAATTAAGACAAATGTATACTGCCTCATTGCACATTTATGTCACGCCCTGATCCGGAGATAAAGAATATTCCAGAATCAGGGTGCGTGAATTGAAATAAATAAATAAAAAGACTGAAAAATTGGTTAAAATACATTACCATTATATATATATAATAATCTTACAAGTGTACAAGATATAAATAAAAGTTTATCACTCTAAACTAATCCAACTTCTCTGGTTTCGGCTCTTCTTGCCCACTAATTGATCTGAAAAACAAAATAGGTGAGGGATGAGCAAACCATTGCTCAATGAGTAGATT